TATAATAAGTTATATAGACTTTACTGAGGCCCTGTTAGGGGGGGTACCAATGTCGCCAGTCTGAATTTCAAAACGTGTTATGTCGTGATTTGAGGAGTTGGGTATGTCCCTGTCATTATTTCACGTCATTTAACCATGTATGCTATTTCTTAATAGGGTCCAAAAATTCGATTGCATCAACCAGGACTGTTGACTATTTCACGATTGTGTATCAAAAACAATATATTACGAGGCGAGACATATAGTGTTAGAAGACATAATTTACTCTACGCTTACTAACGCCTGAAAACTGTTACTTTGCCAATGACATTTTGTCATTTTTAAACATTTTGTTGACATTGTTGTGGTGTTTTCACACCGACTTATATATAGTATACCGTTCTGTGTTTTTATGATGACCGCTGATCAATGTCATCAATCACAGAAACATTTTCGATGTCTTCGATGCGTTTTACGATTTTACAAAACTGTTTTCAATATAATTTCTTACGCGTGGAAAGGTGTCAAAGGTACAAATAGCTACAAATAACGCAGTGTCGCTGTCGCATGTTAGAAATAACACGATTCGCTGTCATTTTTTGTTATTTCCAATTCGCTGTCGCAATTTTAACCAAAATTGGTTTCGCTTGTCGCCGTTTCAACGCCATGTCGCCTGTCGGAATTTACCCTAACAGGGCCTCTTTACTTACGTAACCCTACACCTGAAAACGATTTGTATTACAAAAGATACAAGAATAAACTGAATCATTCAATAAAGATTGCCAAATCATCATACTATGCTAGTAAATTGCAAAATATGAAATCTGACATGAATTCTACTTGGAAGGTTCTCAATGAGGTTATTAATAAAAAAAATCAAAGTCTACCATAAGTTCATTATTTAAAACGAATGATAACACGGAGATCTCAGATCCAATTTTAATTGCCAATAAATTTTGCAACTATTTCACTAATATTGGCCCAAATCTTGCTAAGAAAATAAAACCTTCTCAGTCACATCGTTTGTTTCTTTCTGGATGTTATTCTCAGTCCGTTTTTCTTGATAGTGTGACCTCCGCTGAAATTGTTGAAATTGCTAAATCGTTTCAATCAAATAAAACTGCTGGTTATGATAAAATTCCTATGTCAATAATTAAACAGTTTATTAATATATATATATCATTGCAGAACCACTTTCTCATATACTTAACTTATCCATTGCTAGTGGCATTGTCCCTGATGATATGAAAATTGCATGTGTAATTCCCTTATTTAAAGCAGGTGATCGTGCAATATTCTCAAATTATAGACCAGTATCTATACTTCCATGTTTTTCAAAGTTTCTTGAAAGGGCTATGTATAATCGTTTATTGGCATATCTCGATAAATTTAAGATATTACATGATAATCAATACGGATTTCGCAAAAATCATTCAACTTCACTTGCTTTGATCGATTTATATGACAAGATTTCAGACGCGATTGACAGAAAAGAAACTTCTGTGGGGATTTTCCTGGATTTATCTAAAGCCTTTGATACTGTCAAGCATGAGATTCTATTTGATAAGTTGGAACATTACGGAATTCGCGGCTTGCCATCGCAATGGATAAAAAGTTATTTTACCAATAGAACCCAATTTGTTCAATTTAATGAACATCGTTCATCTCCTAGTGCTGTTTGCTGTGGGGTGCCTCAGGGTTCTATCCTTGGCCCTTTATTCTTTTTACTTTATATTAATGATATTTGCAATGTGTCACAATTAGTTGAAACAATTTTATTTGCTGATGACACAAACATTCTTTTTTCACATAAAGACCCCCAATATGTAATCGATTCTTTGAATAATGAATTGGAAAAACTGTCTGATTGGTTTCAAGCAAATAAATTGTCGCTTAATACGGAAAAAACGAAATTTATGGTATTTAAACCTAGACAAAAAAATTCTGCCTGGACATACAACTATTTATTAATAATAAGTGTATTGAACAAGTCAAGGAAACTGTGTTTTGGGGAGTTATTCTGGATGAAAATCTGAGTTGGAAATCGCATTTTTCGCATATTGCTAATTAACAAATATAAAACATTTTCCGTGTTGATATGCAGTTATATCAACACGAGTGGAATTGGGAAAACGAGAAATTGTATGGAAACACGACGCCCGAAGGGCGGAGTGTTTTCATACAATTTCGAGTTTTCTCAACTTCCACGAGTGTTGATATAACTATATATCAATACGGAAAAAATGTTTTATATTTTTTTTATAATATAGCAATGTCAAAAGCCCGGAGGATAAGAAAAATTTCTGTGTTTACAAGCGGCGGAAAATTTCCCGTGTTGACATTGAGTTATATCAACACGGCTCTTAGCCAATCAGCGTTCAGAATTTACAAATGCTATATTATAACAAAATATCAAAATCTATTGCTGTAATTTATAAAGCTAGTTTCTGTCTGCCACTAGAGTCTCTACGTATATTGTACTATTCGATGATTTATCGTTACCTACAATATTGTGTTATTGTTTGGGGACTAACGTATCATACTAATATTCGTCGCATTGAATTACTGCAGATACGTGTAATTAGAATACTGAATAAAAGCGCATTCGATGCACATACTAGCCCTATATTTAAGAAGCTTGGCTTATTAAAACTGAATGATATTTGTATGCTACAACTTGGTCAATTTATGTTTCATCATAAATCTTCACTTTTACCTGAACGATTTGACAACATGCTTTTAAAAAATGATCAAACTCACACTTTTAATACAAGAAACTCCTCCAAGTATCATGTACCTTCATATAGGACAAATATCAGACAATTTTCGGTGCGCTTTCAAGGTCTTCCTCATGATCTGGTTGACATTGTGTCCTCTATTTTATTTAAGAAAAGACTTAAACAGTATTTGTGTTCAATTTATTAATAATTATGATGTAATGATATTAGTCTGCAAGCTGAAGCACGTCTGCATTTCATAATTTATTAGGCCTAATTGTGTTTTTTATATATATGGTGTACATTTAAAGGGAGCCTAAATTTATATAAGCCTTGTGGTTTCGTTTTGGGCTTCCTTGTCACCAACATGTTAAATTTCTAATTTTTTATATATTTGTTGTGTTGTAATTTTTATGTAATGTGGTGCTAAATCAAATAAAATTCAATTCAATTCAATATACATATATAAAGATATATATATTATATATACAATTATATATACATATATAAAGATATATATATATAGATATAGATAGATAGATATAGATATATAGATATAGATATATAGACATATAGATATACCAAATATGTATCTACAATCCTGAAAAAAATATATGGAGACTATTTGTTAATTTCACAAAAATACATTATAAAGTGTTAAAATCGTACATTTCCACCTAAATAACTTAGTGAATGATTTTGAATGCTAAATTCCCCCCCTTCCCCCGGAACAATGTTGAATAAATGAAGTCACTTTCCAACATACACCGCATAAATAGCAACATTGTGTAGGGGGGGGGGGAAGGGGGAAACGTTGAGAAATTGAAAAAGTCTACTAATTTATTTCCAGGATTGTAGAATCATATATGAGTAGAGTGCTCGATATACCGAGGTATAGAGCTAATATAGATAAAGATAAAATAAACCTGGTTTACTTCATAAGATTTATTCACTACAAACTTGTTTCGTATGACAAGCAATGCTTGCCACACTCATCAGGTGAATTTAAAATTAAAATTAATAATAATTAATTATAAATAATAAATAATAATTAATAATATTAATATAATAATAATAATTATTATAATATTAATATAATATTAATATATTAATATTTTATAATTAATTATTTAATTTAATTTTAAATTCACCTGATGAGTGTGCAAGCATTGCTTGTCATACGAAACAAGTTTGTAGTCAATAAATCTTATGAAGTAAACCAGGTTTATTTTATCTTTATCTATATAGATATATAGATATATATGTTCGTATAAATTTTGAAATGCCTTATCCCGCGAACTTCTGCCGAAATCCTGAATTTTGTTACCAGTATAAACGTTAACCTGCAGCATACGGGACCCTCGCTTCATATCGCATTCAATATGTATAACGTATTTACTGAGACCGAGGGAAACAATGTGTTTTGTGGACATGGCATAGACCGCTGTTGTTGCGGTTGAGGGGCCACAAAACACACGTCTCAGTAAATAACAGTAACTAAGTGTTTCGTTATACAGTATATTAGTGTCAAAGTATGAATAATTCACCGGTTACTGATTTTATTAGAAAAAAGTTTTAAAATAAAATGAATTTTAAGGCCATTTTAAGGCAATATTATTATTAATTACATAGGTGATTATCGAAAATTATCCACGCTGATTGGTTGCCGTTGAGGTGATTATAACGTATTGATCACCTAAGCGATTTTCGAAATGGCGGCCGAAGCCGTTTTGCGGTCAATTAAATGACGAAGAAATGTGAATTTTTTATTTTTTATTCACCCATGAAATTATACTAAAACAATTATTCACATCAAGCTTGGTGAATAAAAACCTCTGAATGTTTTAAGTAGTACTTCAAGCAATGATAAAACTGGCAATAGATAGCTTAAGATCTACGACTGATAATGAGCTACTAGTGTAGACAACTTATATAAGGTAGGTTATGCAAATGCCCTAATTAGCATTTGCCAAGCTGTCCCTAGAGCCCCTATTCCAATAACAAGAACAACAACTCAGCTCGTTCTTAATATAATTTATTTCATAAATCCAAATAAACATGTTTTTACAAATACATGTGCATAAATAAACTTAATACCTAACTTTAACAAAAAAATAATAATATTACTATAAACCTCGAGGCTTTTGTAAACAAATGAATTTCGCAAAGACAAGTTTTCCTGCGCTTTTATATAATTTTGAACAAAACTGGTAGGATAAACTGTATTAATATTACAGAATAATTAATGTAGTGTTCGCTATACTATTTTATAGTGATGAAACTTATTATCTTACATGGAAGCAGATGTCCACTCAAAATGGAATTTTGGGCATTCTAACCTCCCAAAAACTGTGGACGGCACCTAGCAAGGAACAATATCTGCCAGCATATTTCAAGGAAATATGTGATGAATACCTTTTGTCAGAGGATAAACATAGAGTTTATCCTGTTGAGGTTAGTGGTTCTTATATACATTGGAAGTGAATACCAGTATGGAGCTGGCCTATAGTTAATTAATTGGAATGATTTGTTTAATAAAGCTTTTATCACAGCTTTAATGAACCATTTAAACATCCAAAATGACATTTTAATGTTGTCTGAATTAGTTTGATTCCAGTAACAGAAACGATCTTTTTAATACTGTCAGGCAAAACTTTTGTATACACGATTCAGTTGCTCTTCAATTGTGTTTTTTTTAATAGTGTCTTGGTCTTCAAAGAAATTCCAGACCTGCCACATGTGTGATTGGCTCAGATTTTCACGTTCAAATTGTGGACGGAAAAGCGAAACGTATACTTCCAAGTGAATCGCCATACAGTGTAATTGAAAACATCCCATTTGTCAGACAATTGGATTTTGAAGGTGATTCAGTGTATAGTGTATATAATTGCAGGTTAATTGTATGTTAGAGTGGTGGAAATGTCTGAAACAGTGGTCGAGAGATAACCGTTAAAGTAGTTAGTATAAGATTCTTTGGCTTTTGCATAACGATTAATGGTTAATAGAAAAAGGATTACATAACACTAACTGTGATTATTGTTTAGGCGACCTTGATGGTGGGAAAAGCCTTATTGAATTGATTGAATTGATGGAACATTATATGAAAGATAATTTTTTGGCAACATTGCTTGTTTTGGGTGGACTTGGGATTGGTGTCCATTATGACCAATTAAATAAAAAATCAGATCGTGGTGTACCGCTCATAATGGCATACGGACAGCCGGTATCAGGGAAATCAACCACTATGTCAATTGCAATGTCCATTCTTGGTCATAAAACAAGCATTGGCGGTATGTACAGGGCAGTTTTGCAATGAAAGCAATGTACTTTATTCATATAAGCATATTATACCTGCATGCATGGATTTAAGAAATTGCGAAGCTTGTCAGTTTATCAGATTTAATTTGTTATTAATGTAATAAGATATCCGTGAATGGTTTTTGGCGGAACAGGAGGAATTAGAATTGGTAGTTTTATCTTATATTCGACCAAATGTGTACCACGCTACTAATAGTAATATACATTTCAAACCATGAATTCCTAGTTTGTTTCAAGTATAAATACCTGTGAATGCCATATGATAAATTTTTTATTAACCTCGCTTGCTCGGTATGTACACAGAAATATTGGACCTCGGTCTTCTTGTACAAACATCGCCCTATATGCCTACGGGCTCGGTCTGTACCAAAAAGAACAGTCGGTCCGACATTTCTCCATACAAACCTCACGTTCGATTAATTATAAGAAATTAATGTGTTTTTGTAATTTCTCTAGAATTAACGTCAGCTGGCGCCTTGAAGTTGACCAAAGGTCAAACCCTTCCGTTTTGGTGGGACGATGCGTCAGATTTCTCTGTTCTAGAAGAATTGGCAGTTTCTTCATACAACAACGTAAGAATAATTTTAATGAATATTTTTCTATATATATGGATCATGAATGTACTTTGATCTCCTCACAGCTCATCATCGATACCAACATCTGAATGACAAAACTCACAATTTTACCGCTTTTAGGCCAACCCCAGTAATTACTGTATTGTAAACATACCATAAAGTGATAAAGTTCAAAGTATTTAATAATAAAGTATCCAGTCACAGAGCTTTATTTTTTCAATTTTTTTATTTGAAATTTGTAAGTGCGTTAACAGTTAAATGTACTGCCAGTCTGTTTCCAACAATGTATATAGCTTCCACGGAATTAATCATTTCAAACCGCAAGCAACACGGCACATGGTCGTACGGATGTTCTGATGATCACTTCTTCTTTTTCATTAATGTCTAATGGATATCTCAATAAAATGTTATATAATAATAAAGTGTTATATTCCTCACTGAGCTATATTAGGCAAATAAATTTATCAATATAAAATCCAGATAATATGCCACTACACATAAATGCATGCAGGTTCTCCATTTACAGTAATTTAATTATACTATATGTATATAATACATATAGTACTAAGTTTTGCATGTATATTCACTAGCACATAATCAGTATTATGTATACGTTTTGTAGTCCATCAAGCAAACAGCCTACAGCAAACCTGCAACGAGTTCAAGAACCAATGCTCTAATAACAATGAATCCCAACTCTATTCCCAAAAAAATCAGAGGTGATAAGCAAATGATAAGGTAAAAATGCATGCATTTTATTATATAAAGAATAGTGCTTTATAGAGATTTCGAGCACTGATAAAAGTGATGATGATGATAACAATATTTAATCAGGGACGTCCAACTCAGCATAGCTGGTTTAAGTGGAGCCCTGGCAAAAATAGAATTACAAAACACACAGCTACATACTAACATATATAAAATTACAACAATTTAACATACTGTATACTAATAACTATATTATGTAGATTCCATATAATATAGACTAAATACTTTCTTGGACTAAATACATTCGGTCCTTAGATACTTCTTTACATCTATTTTAAATTTAGAAAACCTGGTTTGATTTCTCAATATTAATGGCAACCTATTCAATATTTTTGCCCCGTTATATCGAAAAGAATTTTGATATTTTGTGGTCTTAGCTAGAGGTAGGCGTAGGAGGAGGAAGTGATAATCTCACATGTGAGATTATTCATGATAATCGCACATATGAAAATTATCGCTTTTCAATTATTGCTTTTCTGTAAAAATTATCGCTTTTCAAAGACTGTCCTTTATATAATAAACAGAAAAATACACGGATGCTTGGAAATACCAGATTTATTTCTCGTGTTGAACATGATATCTCACTTGCTCGTTGCGCTCACTCGTGAGATATCGATCATGTTCAACACTCGAAATAAATCTGGTATTTCCGCGCACCCATGTATTATTCTTTATATATCTTTTTGGTAAAATCATCTAGCAACTCAATAACACGTTCCTTTCATAAAATTAGAGTGTTTTCACAGATTGCAGTAATCCCATTCAAGGAAATTAATGAGGAACAAAACCTGGAAACATGTATGTTCCTGGATGAGAAATTAAAAACTATAACAACACATTTGGCAAAGAGCGTTGGTGTTTTTTTGGAGCTTGCTCCACAGTTTGATGTGATGCACCAGGATCAAATGTTTATACAGATATTGTCAGAAGTGAAAAAGAACAAATTGGACGTTCGTGCCCAGTTCAATTATTCCTTGTTGCTCTATTCAACAGGAAAGGTATAGCCACAATATTCAATCAAGGCAACTTGTAGACTTTTAAAGCGTGCCAAAACGTTAAATCATTCGCATCCGATCTTTTATGATATAGAATCACCTTCGGCTTGAGTTTGCATATCTGATAAAGATCGCCGGATCGGCTGCAAATGTGTTAACTATAGAGTATAGTACACATTATCCTAAAAGTACAACGTATTTCAGATCATTTTTTATTGAACCACATAGCTATAAGCACGTAATTATTTTTCTATATTTCTTCTAATTAGATGCTAGAAAAGGTGGGTTTGAAAGACCGTTTTTCCCTGGACTGCTGGAGTTTTTCTGTAATGTAGTTACGCAGCAGTACAAAAACATTACACTAACTGACACACAGCCTTCAAGTTCAAGAATAGCTGAAACACCAACGTTAACAAACGACATGACGGCAATTTTAATTGCTATAGTCACAAGCGCTACCAAAAATCCAATTGAGGTAAGTTACATGATAGACTCCACTCTCTAGGCTATAGCTCAGACAAGGTTTATGGGGGGGGGGGATGTTGACTCTGAAACAATTATGACTAATTCAATGTAATGAAAATATCAATTTGATATGCCATACGGCTAGTTTTTCTAATTTTAGCATTGTCTATAATTCCTTAATTATTTAAAACGTCGATTACTCATTCAATATATTGCATGGGTTATCTTAATATTGACTGTCGGTTACTTTGTATCAATCTCGAACCCTTTAATTAAAACCTATCAAGCAGATTAAACAGTAACGAGAGAGTAAAGTGAATGAAATTTGAACATAGGGTTGGAGAACGCATCAAGAAGTCACATTCGGACATCTCGTCTGGGATGTAACGGAGTGCGCATAAATGTTGGTGAAGGGCAGCCGAAAGGATCACACATCCAAAGAAACAAATTGCCCGAAGCTATAATACAAAACTTGGACAAGGGTTAGTTAAACATTCAAAGTAGGTAGATCGAATCACAGTCTCTATAATTTTCCGTGTCCATATTACACATACGGTATTTCGTTTCCAAATGTATTATTATACCTAACGTTGAACATACCATGAAAACAATGTGTGCAAACGTTCTTTGCTGATCGTTTAAACAAATATTATATAAACATTCCCTCATTCCTTGTTCTCTAATCTCGTGTTAAGAAAATGTTGATAATTTCTACATTAATAAGTCATGTTAATGTATCATGTTATGTTGTTTTCAGTATTTCCCGATGCAAAAAAATTAGCAGAAATAAATCAAAAACAGAAATCTTCAGGTATAAATTATTTTTGTATTATTTTTGGTACAGTACGCATTTATTGATGCGGTACGCATTTATTGTTCGTATAGTGTAAACAGGCAGACGTCATTACTCATTGGTATAGAGTATATTATGTAATATAAAACATTTTCCCGGTTGATATTTAATTTAGCAATTATGCGCCGAAGACGTGGTGATTATATAGGGGAATATTCACCGAGACGAAAAAAAGTCTTGTTGCCACAAGTCTTTTGTGTTTTTTGGGACTGATTTTATTTTAATTTCGCTTATTTCTTTATTAGTAACTTCCACAAAATGCCTAGCCACTGCAGACAAGAAGCTCCCTGAAGTGCTAAATGATCACACTGGTAAATGAATTGCCTTTATGTTAATTTACTTCTTATATCTGCAGTTGTAAACGACTTCTTTTAACAATCAGCGGATGCTATATATTGCTATATAAATATATGTTTATACATTTTTAGCCACTGCCACTGGCACTGCAGACAAGAAGCTCCCTGAAGTGCTAAATGATCACACTGGTAAATGAATTGCCTTTATATTAATTTACTTCTTATATCTGCAGTTGTAAACGACTTCTTTTAACAATCAGCAGACGCTATATTCTATAAATATATATGTTTATACATTTTTAGCCACTGTAAACAAGAAGCTCCCTGAAGTGCTAAATGGTCACACTGGCAAATGAATTGCCTTTATTTATTTACTTCTTATAGTTGCAGTTGTAAACGACTTCTTTTAACAATCAGCGGACGATATATTTTTAAAAATATATAGGCTATGTTTATACATTTTTACCCACTGTAGGCAAGAAGCTCCCTAAAGTGCTAAATGATCACACTGGTAAATGAATTGCCTTTATTAATTTATTTCTTATATAGTGGGACCCTAATATATGTTTATAAATCTTTAGACACTGGAGACAAGGATCAACATGAAATGTCAGAGAATGACGATGGTAAATTGCCTTTTTTATAATATATTTGTCCCTTTAATCTTTATATATATTAACCTGATTTACTTCTTATGTTTGGAGCCGTAGACGTGACGTCTTATTCAGCAACCTTAGATAAGATCAGACGTCTTATTCAGCAACCCCTTCCTGAAGTGGGTTTGCCCAAAACAAACCTCTCATTATTGTTTCACACCACTCAACTATTAATCTTTCATGATATATATTAAGATTTACAGTATAGCAAGTTTAAAAAACCCATCATTTTAACACTTCTCATGAGGAATCACCCCTAGGTAAACCTTGGGGTTCTACACAAGAATGAACAATATGAAGAGGACATGGTTGATATTGTTTCATTCTTGCATAAGTATGTTCCTGGGCATGACGAGGCCTCATCAGAAAGGAAGCCGAGGAAAGGTTTGGAGTGGAGGGACTACCTAACCTTTCAAAGGCACACAGAAGCTCAATCGGCCATGCAAGACGCAGACTTCTGCAAGATTTGATGGTCTTATTCCGAAGACAGAGGACTTTCACACACAAATGCAGTGGATGCAAGTAAGAATAAATTATAGATGATTAAAATATTCAGAGTCCATATTTATATACAATGTACTTAATCAATCAATATACCAGATCATTATAGGTTAAATGTCAGTCCAGATACTGTATAACTGTACTTAATACATACAAGTTCAGTGCAAGTTACGCATGCCTTGTTACATTTTTTGTTTTTTCTGCAGGTAATATGAAATCACTTATATAGCACGGGATCAGCAAGGGATGCTGGAACACTGATCCACACAACCGCTATTATGCTGCCTGTGAGTTTCTTGACAAAGTAGCTGGTGCTTGTAGTGAATTGTACTAAATAACAACCAGAAGGCGAGCAGCCTTCTGCCTTATATTTACATATGCTAATTATTCACATTATATAGATAACCCAAGACTATTGCATGACTTAACTATTATTACATCTCCCTCTTTTGGAGATAAAACTTTAAGTCTCATAAATTACTAGTTCTTAGATCATAGTCAATTGTGACTACTTATTCTAATGTTTTGTTTTGTTCATTTTCCTTAATCTTTAGATTTTCAAACATTCTTATTATATACATTGTTTTGTTCATTTTCCTTAATCTTTAGATTTAGATTTTCAAACATTCTTATTATATACATTCTAATATTTAAATGTCTTAAAGTTTCAACGTTTCAAAGATTTAATGTCTTGAGGAATACTTAGCCTTCCAGATCTTGTTTGAGTTCTTCGGGTCTACCAGGAATCAGATTCCGTGTTGGCTCTGCAGGCATCGTTTCGACAGGGCTTTCGTGGTCCGGGTTACAGTTGTTTTCTTATGTGTGCTTCCAGGTATTTCATAGTTCTCTTCCTTATGCTTTTCTCTTTCGTCTCTTTGGATATGTAGGTGTCTTCTGTCCCTTTGTAAAACACCAGTTTCTGTTTGCACATCATATGATCGAGGTGTGTTGGTTGTTCCAACTACGACAGCTGATTTTCCCCCATGCGTTGTCCTTTTCAGTTTTGATTCAAACTTGATCTCTCTTCTTCAAGACTGGCAACAACCTGGATGAATACTGCCTGTTGTAGTAAAACTCGTTGCTCTCGTGTTTCTGTTTCACCTTGTCACCGTCGTACATATGAGGTTCGTTATTCTTTGATAAGGTTGGTAGAGTGGTTCTGATTGGACTCTGGTTCTGACTTCTGAAGGGCTATGACCAGTAGATCCTACAGTTGTAGATCTGTGTACCATCGAGACACAGGGCTAATTGTCGTAACTTTTAAAAAAATTTATTTATTTAATAATTTGCCCATATAAAATATTATTTGCATAAAAGGAAAAAAAATAAAATAAATCATCGGGCTAGGAGTCTATTGAAACCCTAGCTTTTGATGCCAAAGTTAAAGTCTTATTGTGTATCGTATATATTACAAAATTATTTAACTCAGGTACATTAATGCCTGGGTGCAAGATTGTAAATTGAAGAAAAATAGATTAAAATTTGTAAAAAATTAGTCAAGTTTTCAATTGTTACCGTTCAAGTATTATAACATTTGTCAATACAGAGGCATGAAGTTAAGCTACATTTTGTTGTCATGACAACGGTCATGTGACATATATTAAAGATAATAACACATAAAATGGCTTCGTTGGCTCTGCAGCAGCATAATTCATGCTCACAATAACGCAAAATTGTGATGATTGGCCACTCCTGATACTAATGTTTATAAGTTAAACTGAGAAAGTTGACATTCATTGCTAGTTTCATTGTTTTACGAATTTATAATAACATAGTTAGCACTATAAGACGTATAATTGACACATTAAATGGTATTCTTTTCATAAATGTATGGTTTCCATATATTTCTAAGAAACTTTGATCCCTTGTCAATGTTTTTAGTAGATAAGGCAATAGGAATACTTTAGATTTACACTGCTGCAAGCTGATCATGTTCTTCGTGTGATATAAATAATATCTGTCGCCATCATGAAATTGCGACTGTGGCTAAACACAATAATATTGTTATTTCCATGGTGATTTGTTTAACAACATGGTGGACAAAGTCAGAAGCAAGTATTTATTTGGTTTTTGTCTTTCTTAGCCAATTTTTTGTATTCTAACAATACATTAGCGTGCTCCAAATACCATAATTATGTCAATGATATTACACAAAATATAACTGTGTATATATTATTTGTTTCTGTAATAAAATTTATGGCGTTCCATCGCCGCCAAAAATCAATGTTACTAATCAACAACCAATGTTGCTACTCAACAATCAATATTGGGCAACAACATTCAAATCCACTCTTCAACTTTCAACAGCACACTTTCCTACTATTGTAATTTCAGAACTCAACATCTAACTTTAAAGCACACAACAATGAATATTGAAAAACTTCAATGACGACAAATTTTTGTTCTTTGAAATGATGAATGTTTGAAATGATGAATGTTGCAATGTTCATGTTTGCAATATTGATGTTTGAAATGTTGATGTTTGTAATGTTGATGTTTGTAAAATGTTGATGTTTGTAAAATGTTGGCGCTTGTAAAATGTTGATGTTTGTAAAATGTTGATGCTTGTAAAATGTTGATGTTTGTAAAATGTCGATGCTTGCAATGTTGATGCTTGCAATGTTGATACTTGGCCAACGCGTACCAAAGCCGCCAAAAAGTATCGGGTTTTAAAATGGCGGAGTTGACTATCACTACAGCAGTATCATCTATAAAAGAAATAGACGCAATAGAGCGTTTGAGAAATCCAAGCGATATTGATTTAAACTAAGGCTGGATCGACTATATAAGCAGGATGCTTGTTACATTAGACATACCAGAGGAAATTGTAAACATTATGTCATCAGTGCACCAGCAATTAGAACGTATGAACTACAGTCTAACAGTCCCGATGTTCAGTATCATGCTCCATTGGCTAATACACAAGGTCGCAGAAGGCCAAAAATTGATATTTCTAGAGAGCAGTTGGCATTTTCAGTAGATCAGGGATTTACTGCAGGGGAAATGAGCGGCGTTTTGGGTGTAGGGAAGCGAACTGTGCAAAGAAGACTTGCTGCGTTTGGTCTGAGTATTAGTGGTAAGTATATAAATAGCTATATAACATAGGTCTGTCGAAAAGGTCTTTTATTTCGAATAAATCCACAAAATTGCTTTAAAATGCAATGCTTTAATACATCCTCGCTTGAGTAATCTATATAACTCTCTATAATTTGTATTGCATGAAGTACGACCAGTATCCATATCATACACAGTCACTGAGTACACAGTGCATGGGAAGAAAATATTCAGTCAAATTTTTTACTAAATTTTGTATTTTGTAATGTTGTTTTCAAACTATTTGGGATGATAGCTTGGCTCCCAACGTCACAGGGGATGCCAGGTGACCAATGGCTATTGTTATATATACTGTATTGTGTGAGTTACCCCAATTGGGTTGGTTTTTTACTGTATTCGGTCGACTGCATGGTAAGCTGTTTTTATTTAGCAGAAACTGCAGCAGGTCTTCTTTGCACAGTTCGCTTCCCTACACCCAAAACGCCGCTCATTTCCCCTGCAGCAAATTCCTGATCTACTGAAAACGCCAACTGCTCTCTAGAAATATCAATTTTTGGCGTTCCACGACCTTGTGTGCAAGTCAATGGAGCATGATATTGAACATCCAGGGACGCCGGAACAATGTGAAGGCAAGGGGGGTCAGATTTTCATGAAAGAGCACTTTTGAATTGATATATACTAAGAGATGTTTGCAAAACATCGGGAGTTGAACTTCGCCTAATCATGTTTTCTATTTATTGGATGATAGTGCCATAGGGGTGTGAGGGGGTTCTCTGCCAGGCGATTGTGCTATTCTTGAAGCTCGATGACTGTATTTCTTGCGTTTTCGGAAGCAAATTCGTAAAAGAATTGCACTAACATTTCTGACAATTCGCTATTTCGCTAAGGCAATCCTTGAATTGAAAGGGCACCTTTTCCCCCCTTGCCCCTCCTGGTAAAGGGCAACGGGGGCGGCTGCCACCCCCCCAGTTCCGGCGTCCCTGTGAACTGTGAACATCAGGACTGTAGTTTATACCTTCTAATTGCTGGTGCACTGACGACATAATTATAATGTTTACAGTTTCCTCTGGTATGTCTATAAACGTAACAAGCATCCTGCTTATATAGTCCAGCCTTAGTTTAAGCAAATCAATATCGCTTGGATTTCTCAAACGCTCTATTGCGTCTGCTATTTCTTTTATAGATGATACTACTGTAGTGATAGTCAACTCCGCCATTTTGAAACCCAATACTTTTTGGCGGCTTTGGTACGCGTTGGCCAAGTATCAACATTGCAAGCATCAACATTTTACAAACATCAACATTTTACAATCATCAACATTTTACAAACATCAACATTTTACAAGCATCGACATTTTACAAGCATCAACATTTTACAAACATCAACATTTTACAGACATCAACATTTTACAAACATCAACATTTTACAAACATCAACATTACAAACATCAACATTTCAAACATCAATATTGCAAACGTGAACATTGCAAGCACCAACATTCATCATTTCAAAGAACAAAAATTTGTCGTTGTTGAAGTTTTTCAATATTCATTTTTGCGTGCTTTAAAGTTAGATGTTGAGTTCTGAAATTACAATAGTAGGAAAGTGTGCTGTTGAAAGTTGAAGAGTGGATTTGAATGTTGTTGCCCAATATTGATTGTTGAGTAGCAACATTGGTTGTTGATTAGTAACATTGATTTTTGGCGGCGATGGAACGCCATAAAAATTAAAAGCACTTTGGCACTATCACATATTCGCTGAGAGTAAGATTGTAAGAAAGTTCTGTCATATTATTTAGCAACAGATAACACAAAAATGTATATACATTTAAGCGGCTTATTGAGTTATCACAAGATCAGTGACGCAAATCCTCAAGTTTCAAATTTCGGCGCAAATTACAAACTTTTGCATCTGTAAAGAATGCAATCCTTAGCTCGGTAAAATTGAGTCTATTTTCTTCACTTTATATACAGCTAGTACTTTGATTATCTCACCGCATTTGAGGCAAGACGTTTCTCAATGTGTGGGTCGTTCCTTCATCCTTTGATGTGTGGTTTTGCACAAGGAGTTGCTTGGCAAGTGTCAGCGCAAGCAGACGCAGATGAAAATCTAGAGTGCAAAGAGAACAAGATGCGAAAGAATTATCTTGTGCACTTGCTGCGAGAGAGATATGATCGCTTTACTGTCATATTCCAATGTTACAAGAATTTTCCCATTGACTTCAAGCACTTTCAGTCAATTTTTCCACCACTTCAAGAGAAATTTAGTCAATGGAATCATAGGAAGATCGCAGAGCGCAATCAATACACAACCTCGTACCAGGCTATTTTCTCTTATACTCGGTGCACGGCCACCTGCCGAGAAAATACCCTGGTATTGTCTGGTCACGTGTCTCCCAGAATCTTGGAGGTAACAATAAATTTCTATTAGGGTGGGTAACTAAGTAGCGTTTTGTCACTGAGCAAGGAGTGAGTGAAGAAATAACACAGAAATCATGCAGGAAATCTTTACAAGATTGTATATTTTATTTGTCATGAATACTATCCAGTTACACAATTAGAAATATCAAATGTCATTGTGCCCAGAATGTCGGTGAGCAAAGATATATCTGATTTCAATATACAAGGTGCGATATACGGCTCGTTGAAGAAATTGTACGTCACCGCAAACGTTACAAGAAAATATATTTCCAGACCGAACGATGTAGCTGTTATTTACCTGTTGAAGTCTATCCTAAAAGATTTATTTAATACTGAGATGTGGAATTGTAACGAAATAGAGAGATATTTTCAATTTCTGTAATATCGCAAACTACAAACAGAACAAACCTTGCTTGTAAACAATGCTACTCGGACTGTTATTCAAAGCGCTGTGAAATTTCCAAATTCCAACATTGCCATTGACTTAGCTGAAACTTCATTGATGCTCAAGAAATATGTTGAAGTTATACCTCTCTATTATCAAACCTACAGTAAAATAATCCGACAATAGCCTCCTACTCAAAGATATAAAGTCAAAGGCAAAGACTCTTCTGTGTGTGTATGTTTATACAAATACTATATATGACTGAATATTCGTAACTTATGTTTGACATTAGAGAATACAGACCACATAATAAATTTGATGAATATAGTTTTAATTGTGACATTCGCTTTACTGTAATTTGTTGATCAATGTTCATACAGTATTAAATACGCGAGAAATTTTTACTTTGTGAAATATAATACTGACTTATTATGCATGCTGGTGTGGGACACTGCTTGTTAGTCTGTTTAGAGATCAATATATGTTGTGTTAATTTAATATACATATTTAGATTTAGAGTCTAACTATGTTGCACTAGAGATAAACGGTTTGTTCTCGAAGAAAACGTGTTAAATAATGTGAAGTAATCAAACTCTAAGACTCTAATTAAGTAAGTGTTATGTCTGCATGTGCATATCAGTGTTTATGGGTATATGACTGCATGTGCATGTGCATATCAGTGTTTATGCCGTGGTTTATGGAAATATATATGACTATCTTCGTGTTAAAAAATGTGTACTGTATATCAGAAAAATATTTTTAAAAATATTACTGTGGGCCGAAAAAAAGGCTAAAGCCGTAATTGTCTATACCGCCTGATATACGCATTTCCCTGAGGCTGAGAATTTTTGTACATTCATCTAAAAATTCTTATACTTTACTACCTGCCAACCTCCTACCTATCTCAAATTTCAAATATGATGAACTAGTGAACTAAAAGTATTTTCAAAGATAAATCATTGACAGTTTTAAAGTGAGCATTCAGTCTTTGTTTGGCAGTGTCATGTTTACATTGTAATTTGTGGCAAAAAGTTACTTTTCAAAATTTTATCAACCTTCAATAAACAAGATGCGTGCTATTAGTAAATCGGCACAGAGTATATTAACAATATTTGCAAACAACAAATCTAATGGCATATTTTAGAAACAGATAGAAGAGAATATATGAAAACGTTGATGGCGACTGACCGGTTTGATATCAAAATATGTTTGAGAGAGAATACCCAACTTCAAACTTTAAAGTATACGATTTTATTTGTTTCTTGACTTGACTGTTGATAAAATGCTACAGTGTTTTCGTAATTTAAAAGCAAACAGAGGTATAAAATAGAAGTTAGCGGGCGTTTCGAACTATGTATCGTAGCATCCCGCTCCTAGTATTCGAAATTTAACTTTTTTGTGGAAGCATGTAATTTGATACTTTACCACTCCCCCTTGGGCAATTAATTTTTGTACAGTCACGTGACCAGACAATACCAGGGTCCTTCCCAAAAAGACCCTGGGTACAAGGATAATCAATACACAGCAATGTTCAACATCGAAGAAGCTTGGAATAAACTTTCCCCAGCGATGCAAGTTAAACATACATTCCAAAACTGTAAGCAATGTCAGCTGAAATACAATCACATACAAGTTTTATTTCCTACCAAAATGCAAGAGGTTCACCAGCTTAATGAAGCAGAACAATCCAAAAGTTGCGAACCATGCCATGTCCAACTGCCAAGTCAACCAGGGAGTACCACTTTCTGTGAAGCAGGTCCTTATATGACCAGGTGAACCCCATGTTTGAAAAGATAACTGGCCATTCCCTTGTTAAAGCATTGACCAAAGTAAAAGATCTCAATATTGAGGAGAATTCTAAAGCTGAAAAAAACGAACAGTAAGAAATAATTATAGAAAATTCAATGAAGCTGTAGAAACAGAATGGGAAAATACATCTTTTTTTCAGGTAAATGTGTGCAGGACCATAGACCAATTGCGAAACTTAGTGACCGTGCCTTCATACTGCACGACAACGAGGCTTATTATGCAAAAACAAATCATTCTGCTATATTTTTATATGGGGAAAAATGAATTTCAGTGTTTGAGACGCGTTTTTATGGTAATCTCTTCATTTTTTTTCAATATTTTTGTTTTGACTATGTAAATCTTTATTAAACTTGTTCATAGATTTAGTCTTACTTCAAATTTCATTGTTTTTCGCGGCGTGCGAGGCAAAGTTTTGCTGTTTTTGGCCGTCCGATAAAAGAAGCAGATTATACCAGAGAAAGAATCAGGTATTTTCCGTCTGTTTTATTAATACATTTCAAAGAATAAGTTGTAACATTGATTAATTTTGTTTCAGTTGTAATATAATAGCAAGTTTTCGATTTTAACTTTAAAAATATGAAAGTAAATGTCGGGCAAAATTTGTAGAAATTTTATGTTATTTTCCTTTGACAAAATCGGTTTTTTCTCGCACGAAGTCTAAAAAAATCTGGGTAGAAAGAGTTATATTTTAGTTTGTTAAGTTATACTGGCTATTATATTTGCATCTTGATTAGATTTTAAAGTCTAGATTGATCTTTTCCGTATGTTTGTTCTATCGCATGCTAAAACAACAACGAAATATCTTTCCAAAGCGAGTAAAAATATAGTGGGAAATCGATGTTTAGATAAATTTAACAAATATTTATATAACCTAGCACGAAATATTAAGAAAAGATCAGAGAGATTCAAGAAAAAACACTTTAAAAACCCCAAAATTCACTTTTTGCTATATAAAAATATAGAAATTGTTTTGTTTTTGCATAATAAGCCTCGTTTTCGTGCAGTATGAAGGCGCGGCCACTAAGTTTCGCAATTGGTCTATATGCAGGGTTTTTTCACCAGGGGGCCAGTAAGGCCTAAATGTCAAATATCCAAAGAATAATTAATAATGACATTATAAAAATTGAAAATATAGTTTTTTTCTGGGGGGAAACAGTTGCCCCCCCCGGCTGTGTATGACCCTGAATGTGTGGGTTAATTTGGTCATTAAATATTTGGGACATGTAATATTGTAGGTTGATAAGCCCGCTTATGTGCAGTAAATGGACTGACAGCTAGCCTGTGTACAGAAATTAATTATTGGAAAAATCTCATTTCTCAAACAGGAATCACTGGGGTCACAGAGCCTCTCAATAACCATAACCTCTTAAGGCACAATGCACCCTGGTACTCAACATTGTTATTTTACTCTGTATATAATGCTATATATATATATATATAAGTTTATTTGACAATTAGGGTCTCCTCTTTCCTCTTAATGGGTTAATACATTTGCCTGCAATGATCATGGACACACCTTAATCATAAATATAATATGGGACAAACTGCCTCAATCTTTAAAAAACATAACATATAAAATGAAGAATATTTCTATTTTATAGATGCTTTGGAAATAGGCAATCACTATCTGGGTGGCAAGGGGAAAGGGTGGCAATGGCTTTTGAGAAGGAAGAGGCTACTGAGCAAAGTAATTTGGAGAATTTCCAAGAAAGGAAGAACAAAGTCCAGTTGGCAAGTTTCATAAGATGGAATGGGACCAGGAGGCAATGAAAGCTGAAGTTATGGCCTATGGTAATGGGATATTGGTAAACTGGTCAGAATTAGGACGGCGGTATGGAATTAAAAACACCAGTGGCAACTTAGCACAAAATAGGCAAATTGCTTTTGAATGGCTGAAATCAAAAGGAGTTGATGTGGAGAGATTTAAAAAAAGGCCAGCAGGAAATGATGCTGGAAATATCAGAAAAAGATTAAAATGGGGTGCAGGTGGTGAAATCACAGTGCCATGTCCTGAAACTAACAAAAGTGTACAAGAAAAATTGAAGCAAAAGGTTTTGTCTGGTGATATTAATGTTGGAGAGTTAATTGTGCCAAGAAAATAAGTAATATTAAATTTATTTTATTAAGTTTCACTGGTAATTAACTTTAATTTGCAGTAATTGATAACTGCATGCAGTGTTCCCATTCTTATATTCAGTTAAAGTAAATAAATATATATAAAATATTATAAAAAAACTGATCATCAGTGTGGGCACTACAATTATTAAAGTTAGTACGTGATAAATTATTCCAGTGAGTTAATAATAATTATTTCTTTTCTAGTATAAGAAGCTAGTGCTCAATGATGAAGGTTCTGTCAATAGGTCTGAATTTTACGTGGAAGGATGCAAATGCTCCCTCACTGAAATTCGAAAGAGAAAGCTGTCTGAACTGGAAAGATTCATGAGATTGAATGCTGAGAAGGATGTAGCCAGCATGAGTGAGGAAGAACGTTTTAAGAGATTGACAATGCTAAATGAAACAAAGGATGGAGAGTGTAAACCAGAAATGAAAGGACAGCTGCAGGAAATGGAAAGAAGACAGCACTTGATGGTATGGAATGACCTCTCTACTGTGGCTAACCATTCCAACATGATCTCATCCCAAAATTAGAGCTATATCTTAATTGTAAAAGAGCTCTCAAATAAAGGTATTGCCTTAATTTTAATGATGATGAACGCTGAGCAAATTCGGGACCATATCGCTGACACGTCTTTGGCAGGAGTGAAGGAAGCGAGCCAAAATTGAAAACCGCCTCTATACAGTTTATACAGTACAAATTTGCATACAGAATTTCTGTAGTTGGCTGGTCTACAAAATCGATTGCCCGGAAACTTTGAAAACTATCATTCAAAAGGTAGATGTACTGACTAATTATGTGAAGGAATTGAAGAACATAAAACCTGAACTTACAGCAGTATACAAGACCTCAAATCAACTAAGAGAATGCTACAATATAAGACCGAAAGCCAAGAAACTCTTAACTCCGAAAATACAAAATTGAAAGAACAAGTCAAAGAGCTGGAGAAGACGTTCTTCGATAAAATTGATGAAGACTCTGAAAACCAAATCAAGTGAACAGCTATCTTGACAAAGAAATTTACAATAATATAATTTAAGTATCACTATATTATATACTTTTTTCTGTGTTGGGTGTTATGTAGCTCAGATGAATATGATGTTTTTGATGTTACTCTGAGTGTATATCCACACCAGACAAGCATATTTGTCCAGGCATATGTGGCCAGGCATATTTGTCAAGCTTGTACGGTGTGGATATACACTCAGAGGAACATCACAAACATTATATTACATTAGATATAATAAAAGCGTGAATTCTCAGTATTTTCTCATACTACAATACACTCATGCTATATTCAATACATAATTTAATAACTAAGTGCATTACATTATGACAGTTCTAATTAGATACGACAAAACCCAAATTTATCAGTGCTGAATACGCTCTTAGGCCTGTTATATACATTGAATTTTGGTTGCGTCGAATGCAATTAAGACAATATTCAATAGATAATGAGATGATTAACCTCATTAAGCTTCAGTCTTTTTCTATTGTTCTATTTTTCTATTGAGTGATGCATTGCGTTCAGCAAACAGCAGGCCATTCAAATTCTAATAACAATATTATTATTATTATATAGTAGATAGTGAGATACTGAAAAATATGCAGTGACATATTTTTCATATCTTCACTAGTGAGGATATCGATCATATGACTTTTAGTATTTATACAATTTTTTGCTTCGGACTATCGCTGCGCTTGTTCGTAAAATATTGTCTTCACCAATCGAAAATAAAAAGTCATATCTTCAAGTCAACATGTAATATCCTCTATATATTGTAATCATTTGCAGAATATTTTGAGCCCTAAACCCAACTTCTCAGAAAGAAGGAAATCCTTTCCACCTTTGCGGCTATCCACATAATGTTTTTTACAATGTAGTCAGCAAATATGGCCATCAATCTATGATGTTAATAAATATAATATCATCTTGCAAATTACGAATAAATGTGGAGAAACTCTCATCAACCATGCTCCCCATAATTATGTACATGGGTGGAGGGGGTTATATCTCCCTCCTTTTTTTCAAAGTAAAAATTTTGAAAATTTACTATTTTTTTATTTTTTAGACTATTATTTAGAACCAACAGAAGAAAATGTGCGAACAGCAGTTTCCAAAGTAGTACGTTGCTAAACCAAACATGAACTAATAAGACCCCGTTTACACGATGCCGTTTTCATTTGAAAACGGAACAAAATCATGCCGTTTTGGCCTTGCGTTTACACGATACCGGCAGAAAATGTCATGAAAATGGCAACAAATGAAAACGTCGTCTTTATCGGCGAAGTGTGAAAACGGAACAATAACAAGTACCGTGTAAATGCTTGTGCCGTCAAAATTTGACAACGGTTACCGTATAAAAAGTAAACACAATGAATTTTATTGAAATAGCATGTTGATGTGCAGCAATTTTTATTAATATTGTGCTGATGCAGCACACTATCGCTGTTTTCAGAGAAAAACGAAATAAGCTTTTAGAGTTATTCAATAACAGACCAATCTTACCGGCACAAAAAATCCGAGGATATCTCGCTAACAACAAGGCTCTGATTTTGTTGTATTTTGTCTTAATTGACTCCCAGTCGAATCCCTCTGATTCCTTACTGTTTTTGTATTCGTAAATAACCGATTTCGTCGTCAGTCCATGTAAAATTACCCTGTCCTTCGGTTTTCTTCGAGGTTTTCTTGCTTTTTTTGCATGCCATATTTGTTGTCATGAGTTTGCGGTTTGCATGTGGTATTTCAGCGGTATTTTTCTTCAATAAATTTTATTGGATAAAGAATATCACATGACAAACCGTCATTATATTTTACCGGCACCGTGTAAACACAACAGTTAAACGGCACATCCGCAAATTATCGTGATTTTTGTTCCGTTTTCAAACTCTGCCGGTATCGTGTAAACGGGGTCTAATTAAAGTTATCATTTCTATTACTATAATATTTCAACACTTCTAAATTTACTTTTTACCATATAAATTCATATCATACTTGTGTTGTTAACATTTGTATGAGAAACGAGCCAGGGCAGCTAGGTGAATTCTTACATTGCACTTAGACTGCGAGCGGTCCCTCCTTTCTGCGGGTTTAGAATTTCCAGGTACAAGAAAGGAAAGGAGGGACTGCAGACAACACATTAAGAAATGAAATCTGTGTTGCCCAAACAACGCAAAATTCCCATTGGTCAAAATTGATACGCCTGTCAATCAAATCTGATACGTAGTAATTATGCTATAAATAATTTTCAGAGTGAATGTTAATTATATGAGTGACATTATGGCGGATGTAATTGAGTCGTGTTTACAGAGCTTTCCTCAAGTTAGTTCCTTGAAGCCGGAGCAAAAGATTGCAGTTCAGTGTTTGCTGGATGGTAAAGATGTGATAGCTCCTTCCAACGGGTTTCGACAAAAGCCTTATCTACCAATTGTACGTACTGGTGAAAGTTAGATATGGCGGCTGTCATTCGAGTTCTATTCTTGTTGTTTCACCATTGAAAAGCATAATAGAAGAGGAAATCAAATGCCTTCAGGAAGTTTCCATATCTGCTACCGAATTAAATATGGAAGAGAAAACTCCAAAAGATATATTCAAGTACCAAGTCATATTTGCATCGGCAGAGAATTGTCTGTCGAGCGCTTTCCAGCAGCTGTTGGAGAAAGAAGGCAAACTAATTTCTTTGATAGTTATAGACGAATCACACACGGTCGATACTTGGTAAGTATTTGTAACTAAAGTTATTTTGTATAGTTTTTAATAGGCCTGGTTTCGACAATATCTTTATGATAATGTTATTGTATAATGCAAGCGATTCCAAATATATTACATTTTGTTGCTGTTTTGTAATTATTGTATTCAATTTATATTGAAGGGGCAATGAAAAGATAAAGGGGAAGAAGGTAGTTCAACCAGCGTTTCGAAAGGATTATGGAAATTTGGCATGTCTCGGATCTTTCTGTTCCCAAGGTATGAGGTTGGTTTATACATGGAGGTCGGACAGCAGTCATGAGATCTGAAAAGTCAGCATATTTTTAATTTAATAGCAATTCAAGATGAGGTCAACAAATATTTGATATTTGAATAAATTTACGAAAAAATCCTATAGGATCCTATAAGAATGGACCTTTCACCTTTTGACTAAAATTTAGATTTCAACAAGTCTAGACAAAAATTTTATTACAGCTTGAAAGAGCATCACAAAATTAGTAATATTCCGAAGTTTCGTTGCGAAATGTTGTAAAATGCGGATAATATAGCCTTGCGAAGTTTTCCATTTTCAGTCATTTTGTATTACGCGCGGGAAATACATACCTCCTTCGGAAAAAGGGTATGTATTTCCCGTTTGTAATACAAAATGACTGAAAATTGCAAACTTCGCAAGGCTATATTGTCCGCATTTTACAACATTTCGCAACGAAACTTCGGAATATTACTAATTTTGTGATGCTCTTTCAAGCTGTGATAAAATTTTTGTCTAGACTTGTTGAAATCTAAATTTTAGTCAAAAGGTGAAAGGTCCATTCCTATAGGAAATCCAATTTCCTATAGGAATTCCTATAGGAATAAGATCCCTACAGAAATTTTCTATAGGAATTCCTATAAGATCCTATAAGCATAGAATTTCCTTTAGGAATTTCCTATAGGAATTCCTATAATATCCTATAGGTATAGAATTCCTATAGAAATTTCCTATAGGATCTTATAAGCATATAAGAGGCTGTCTCCGTAAAAACCTCCAGGTCAATATGTGGCTCAAAAATAGATTTCTCTCATACTCTAGTATTTCGAACATCTATCCTTGGGAACAACTAAAATCGATTTCATTTTACTCAAATTTCCTTTAAATTATTTTTGGGGGCGATTGATGTTCGACCAGGTGGTAACCAACTTGAACTCCGAATGAAGGCAAAATATCGACATATTTTCAGTGCTATTTTTTAAATCAAATTCATACCTAAATTTCAAAATTTTTGCTCAGAAATATAGACTTATCCTTCTATTTTCGTTGGTGATATGACTTAGATAAGCTTATTTCAAAATCGTGGCACCAGACTGGCACATGACTTTAACTTTTCTATAAACTACTAACATTAATCAACACAAATCGCCAATAATATCTTTCTGACTTACCATTTGACAAAAATGACAAGCGTGCAAACTTTGTAAAATTTGAAAATGTGTCGAAATCGAGCATACTTTATCGGTCAACTTAAATGTTGATATTAACAAATAAACCTTACATTACACTGAATAAAGCTTGATTATGTCTTTCGTCATTATTCTTTGGTTTGGCACTTGAATCAAATTGTTTGAGTACAGTTTGGCTTCATGGATAGAGTCATTCAATGCCAGTGACAGTGTGTCCAGTGTCTTCTGCGTGCCTTCAATGCCGCGAATCCTGATTGATTGTGTCATACTATACAAACTTGGCTCTGTTTGCTTTGTTTACCTCGTTAACAAATCACCTTTACCTGTTTAACAAATAACAATGTTCAATTTAATTGGACAACTCAGAATTAGTCATACTACACACAGAATTTTCATCGTTTTTAAACTGTTTTATAAAAGTTTCGTTAGAATGTACGAATTAAATCTCGGGGAAAACCCCGGACCCTGGCCGAAAGAAATGTATACAAATGTATACTCGCTGTGATGTCAAATGTCAATATTTCGCTCAGGATAGTTTTCTAGCAACTGAATTGTCTCTAGGTTTAGTCGTTTAGGAACAATTTAATTGTCAGTGAAACTAGAATTCAAATAAGTACAGTTCTGTATAACAAATCAACGATTTTTTATTTTTTTCACAATTAGTTTAATAAATAAAAGTATAATCTTTAATTCTATCCAGCCGGCCCCCCTCGGCCTCTCAACCGTTTTAGAGATATTCACCGTTGAATATAGCCCTTTGTAAAATATGCTGTCTTGTCACTCAGATCGATAATGAACTGCTATTACTAGCTTTTTTCTCAAGAAATTTGATATACTATAGAAGTTTCGATATATTATGGATTTATATATATTGGTTAAAGTATGTAAATAATTAAAGCACTTCTGTAACAAGATTTTATTGGTGAAATTCATTGTTTGGCTGATGTTTTAGAATTGAGATTCGTCAGACATTGTTTTAATTGCACCCACTTGTGATTAACCTAGTTTTTGTTTAATTTAAAAATGCTGAAAAAAAATCTAAAAAGTTAGCCAATTGAGATAACAGCATTTCTATAACTTGCTAAACCTAGTCAGTTGCTATTATATCACAAACATCTGTCAACATACACTCATGCTCTTCCTTACCACTCGAGTCTCCCACTCACCACGTCGCTTTATGAAATTTTTGGATAAAATCCTATTTTAAAAAACTCAACCCTATACTTGATATGCTGAACATAGACCTCTAAGATATCTCCTGCTGCAATTAATGGGTGTAAATGCTCGCATAGTTCAGAAGCAATATAACCAACATGTGTCCATCCGGTTCCATAATCTACTCAATTGCATTTGGGTCGATTGGATTCAATTGCTCTGGCCAATGAAGAGCAAGGTATGCCTGTTCCAAAATGATGTTGGTAGTTTTTCTCATGAGCACTGAGCAGCACCGATGCACTTGAATGGTACAGCATGAATGATTTTGTCCTCGTCACTTTCATCCTCATCACTTAACTGGTCACCACTTTCTGCCCTATCACCTTCATTACAACTTTCTACCCTATCACCTTCATTACCTGACCAGGTTCAAGACCAGCCAACCAATCAAATAGATCTCTTTCTACAAAATCGTAACAAGAAAATTTTTATTTCATTATTTTATACATACACTGTAATCTCTAAAATTAGCAATCTAATGCAAAAGTATGTCACTATTTACAGTAATATTAGAACAACACACAAGTATGCTGTATGGCAATATTATTTACAGATGAAAATTGAAAAATATATAACTACTGTATGCACATATATGTAAAAATCTATCCACAACTAGATACAAACAGGCATCATACTTCAGCAAAAATTTATTAAACAATTTGTTTAACTCAAAACATGTACATAATGTATCACAGTGACACAGTACATAGACACATACACAATAGGGTCAAACTATAGGCAATAAACACAAATATTACGCTATAATTTTGTACAGTGTATTTATGAAACTGACAGTACAGTACAGTGAAAGGATAAAAAGAACAAAGCGGAAATTTGACTAAATAACAAGATAACTGTAATGCATTGTAATATACCAACCTTAAATACTGCGCTTGTTTTTACGTTGATGATACACAGAGATTTAACGCCATCCAACATAGAAAGAAGAGCCTATAATTGCTATTGGGAATATTTATATAAACACAATTCCTTCCCTCAGACGGATTATTTATAAACTAAACTAAAATGATAACACGTCCCATGCAATTTAAAAAAAGGTAAGCTTATGAGGATCGCAACAATACAGCAATATGCTGTTTTCACAGAGTATCTGACACTCTTGTCGTTCGAAAGCTTCCATATTTGTTTAGTCAGAGAGATGTTCACTCCTCGACAGTCAACAGTCACAATGACGCCACGCGTCGAATTGGGCGCTCAATACCCATGATGCTTTGCGGCCTGCTGTCCAACCTCCTCTGCGAGTTGAACTACCAACAAGAACTGACCCTCTGTTTTCACCTCTCATCGCAATCATTTGTTGCCAAACCAAAACATTCTCACCCCCATGGTCCGTGCGGATGTGTGAAGGCCATGAATGTTTCCCAACGCTTTGCAAAAATAATCTTTCCACAGTTTCCGACCTGTTATTGGTTGCACACTTTAAAAAGCAAATTAAACGCGAGTAACCGTCAATGCAACCATGCATAACAAACCCCCAGGTGATTAAACTATGGTGACCATCTATGTGCCACAAGCTGTTCGGGCCAGCCACTGAATAACTTCGCCTAGAAATTACAGTTGCCCATCTCAAATGACTATTGCGACGATCAACTCGTTTTATGGATGCTTGAATACGATCTCTTTGTATCTTTATGTTCATATTTCTCAGGTGACCTTGAACCATTGAATAGCCAACTAGAATTCCTTGAACATTCATGAAAGCTCTTACAATATCATCAAGCTGATCATTTCCGATGTCCGAAAATGCAGTTCTTGCCACAATATCCAGCTCTCGTACTCGGCGCGATATAGTCCAACGTGAAGCCAACAATAGTTGAGCAATCTCTTTCCACTTAAAGCCTAGAGTCCTTAGGTTTAACAAAACTTCTTCATCAATGTTATATTTAGGCCTTCCTGGTCCTGCACTTATACAATGTCCAAGAGGACTAATGGAAAAGACTGCCAAGTGAGTACAGGCTGTGTTACTTCTCTGCCAAAGTTCTTGTAGTTTGCGACACCACACATGATATAAGAGTTTCAAGTTGTTTCCAACCTCAGATATAACATCTCTACATTCGTTTACAGATGGCAACACATTTTCCACGAATTTTACAGCGGATTCTAACTGGTTTATTACTGATTCAATAACATTTTGATCAATGTTGCCGTCTTGCTCTTCACAAATATCTAACAATGCCGCAACGTCTTCAAAACAGGCCATAAAAAGGCCCTCTTCATTATTTTCAATAGCCGCCATTTTCGATTTCAATTTGGCAATTGGCGCGCAGGGGACTGGTTCCGGATTTGTTGCATATACTGTCAACAGTATGTCCGGGACTTTAAGTTCCCGGACACACTTTTCGCATTTTTATATTCAACAGATTTTCGCATTTATATATTCAACAGAATTTCGCATTTATATATTCAACATTGAATAAGAATGTAAACTTTTCGTGTTGAATATGAATATGTTCATAGTTGAAGTTGAATAAGTATATTTCATATGTGTTTATTGTTGAATATGAATATAGTTATTGTTGTTGAATATAATTATTTTAGGTTGAAGTTGAATAAATATATTTCATATGTGTTTATTGTTGAATACGAATATAATTTTGTTGTTGAATATAATTATTCTAGGTTGAAGTTGAATGCAAATATACATTGTTGAATTTTGCAACAAAATGCCAACCATACCTAAAATCATTTTTCTCTAATAATAAATACTTGTTGTCCCTTGATATTCTTCCCTTCCCGTAAAATAAATATCTAAAGCAATCATGTTCAAAGTCAATAACTAATTTGTTATTACTCTTGGCCTTCAACTTTGTAGTAATGGCCACCCTTAAAAAATCCAGATTTTTGCCCAATCTCTCTGGCTGTATCAATGGCTTGTTATAACTTCTGCAAAAAAAACCCACAATTATCTTATATTACATCATGAATACAGTGCTACTATTGACTGTGCTATAAGAACCATTTATGTTATAATGACTAACAAAATTGCTTATGTTCCATGATTAAAAAGTATGAATGCATACATGGGTTTAGCTAAAATAATGCATGCAATGATTTGTCTATCCCCAGCAACACTGAGGCAGGCAATTCCTACCATACTGTACTGTACTGTACTGTACTGTACACAAGGCCCATTAAATTGATTTAATTAAGAATACTGTGCGTTTACCATGAGTATTACATCAATCACTGTTCATTGGTATAAAACAAACTTCTATCGTATAAACACTACTAGTGCAATATCCTATGAAGACCACATGAAAAAGCTATGAAACGAGGTCTAGCTATGAAATAACCCATGAAATATTTTTATAGTACCATGAAAGGTTCATTTCATGGTACTATGAAACAATTAATGACATACAAGTACTATGAAATTCAATGGAGAAAGTTTTGCCATAAAACAGCTACAATGTAACCTCTCTATATATGAAAATAGGGCTATGAAATTAGTTGGCCCCTAATATTTTCATAGGCTATGCCCATGAATAAACTTAAATTTCACATATACGTACCTCCTGATCAGGAATGATTGAATTACATACTTTTAACAATGATAACTATTTATATCAAAGAAATTGAAGTATGTATATAATGTAACATATATGTACTATATGTCTTCGGCTTAACATACAATAATGCAAAAGTCCAAATAGGAGTTTTAGTTTTTATTCAAATTTCAGTATATGTACATGTATTGTTCAAAATACAAAGAGAGTTTACTCTTGTGGGACATTTGGCAACAACTAACGGTTTTGAGAACCATCTCGCACTTGCCGGAACCACTTTGATAGCAAAATGCAATGTGTCTACCCACCACAATCCAGATTTCCTCTCAAATGTTGTGAATTTACAATCAAAGGTCTTAATTACAGCAAACTTATTTGACATGCCTTGAAAAACATGACTAAAAAAATACATTATCTGACCAAATAGTGGTTTACATGTAGCTAGTTGCATGCGCAACAAGATTACTGCGGAAACCCAGTAATGATTGACAGCTTCAGTACTCTGTCCTTCCCAAATAACATTCCTGCCTGAAACTTCTTCTGTATGCCTCTTATACAACAGACCTTACAACTCGCACACATTTTGCGTGAGACACACGCATTTGACATATTTCTCACGCTCACACGCATAAACGAAAAAATAGGAAGATCATTTCCAACTTTGTTTTAACGCTTCTCTTCGCAAGCAAATATTCCTATTTAGCTGAATCAATAGCTATAAAAAATAAAGTATTTTTCGAGCAGTTGCTGTGTAATGTATAGTATTGCATAAGTTGCACTATTGCACAAATTAGTAAATTGACACTTACTTAACGAGGGATTTCCCCAGACAACACTTTATGTAAAATATCAGTGAACTATAATCTTATTAATTTTGCATGATCAATTAGCATTATTCGTGCGTGGGCATGATAACACATTAAAAGCAGCTAAATCTGCTGCTTATGAAAACAACAAAGCACAAGCTATAACTCATTAACATTTAAATTTAGAATGACTTTTACTTTTTAAACAATATTAACAAAATAAAAAAATAAATGAAATTTATAATTGCATGCAGATGTCGAAAAAGTGTTACTTTTGAGATTTTTTGATGCCATTTTTGTACCTTTAAAATTCTGTTGATCTTCTCCCAAAATGCAGGAAATGGCATTTCAGAGACTCCAGATTTAAAAATTTTCTGGGGGGGGCATGCCCACGAACCCCCCTAGGTCCACACCTGCCTATGGCAGGCGCCACCTGCCTATGGCAGGCGCCAGCCCGCCATCGGCTATATTAGTCAGATTACAGGAAAAAACTAAATCTCACTCATTTTCATGCCACAAAGTTGGAAGGTCTGTATACAATGACATATCATTACTGACATTAGGTAGGTTGCAACATTCCTCATTTATATCGATGTTAGCAGAGTTCAAGTCTTTTAAAAGAATAAACACATTCTGTGGAATAGTAGTGGTTGATTTTTCAGCAGCTTTAGCATCATCTTCGCTAGTGTTGCGCTAGTATCAACAGAAGTGATCCTTCCTGACATCTTCATGTGCTGGCACCAGTCAAATATCTTAAATTCAATATATATAATTATACACACATACATATACATGCATATACAATACACTTGTAAGTTATAATACATTACAATTGTTTTTCATGCATATCTTGTCAGTCCACTTATGTCTTAAATGTTGATTTACATAAACTTTAACTTTGATTTTCTCGGCTTAGACAACATTTTCTCGGCTTAGACAACCGGCTTTGATTTTCTCGGCTTAGACAACCGTCTTGTATCGGATATACAAACTCTCGCCTTCGGCTCAAGTCTGTATATCCGATACAACATGGCCGCTCATGTTGTAAATAGTACTTACAGTACTAGCTTGTCGGTCTTACTAAACACTGCCCAAGACTGCCCGGAAAGAATAAACGGACAGCCCAGGATAAAATAACACTCTCTATTATCATAAATACCTTTTTAATTTTGCCATTGGGAAAGAAATATTTCATGAGCGTTACAAGACAAGTCTAGTAGAGTTCCTTTACCTCACAACAATAGACAAACTTTATAGCGATCGCAAAATTTTCGATTGAAGCAAAGAAAAGAAAATCCAATGCAACAGCTGGAAAGAGCACATCAAGATTAGTAAAATTATAAAGCTCGGGCTGAAAAAATATCGATATTATGACCTGGCGAAGTTTGACAATTTTGTACAGTGTTTTTATTTTGTGGTGCTCATTTAACACCCTGCACTGCCGCGTGTTTACAGTTAAGATCACAGAATGATTTCTATTTTCCATTATAATTTCTATTGCTATTTTCCTTCGTGTAATGAAGAATCATTGGTAACTATAGCATTTAATGATATTTTATTATTTATTACCGGGCAGTCATTTTATTCTTCCCGGGCAGTCTCGGGCAGTGTTTAGTAGGACTGCTAGCTTGTGGCTACAACAGGAATTTACACATTCCAAACATCCTATGATCCAATAACACCATCCCTCCCTCGCACACCCGGTACAATGTTGGTTTCATGTTAAGCAACATTTTGACAAAGTTTATTTCCACACAAAATTATAATGGAGGTGCAGGGGTCGATTATGTTGTATTTGAGTCGATTATAGTGCTATTTCGTCCAAGGTGTTTTGTCATTGATTGTTCCTTGATTTCCTTCAAAAATCCTTTTTGCAACATTAAGTTTAATTTGATGAACACAAAAGCTTCCACATATACATGCATGCATGTACCTGATATGTTCTAAGGATTGTCGCCTCTGGGGATGTCCTGTTCATGACACGTCTCGAAATCCATGAATTGAAACGCTCATAACTCCACATTGACCAACTGTGGGTTGGCCCATAACATTCAATTCCATCCACAATATGCCTAAGGATGTGAAGGCTAACAACCTGCAGGGAAACAATCATTGTGTAATGTGAGAGCAGATGGGCATCAGTCTAACTATTGTGTGATACAATATACCCTATGGTGCAAATTTGGGGGGAAACGATTGCAGCAAATGTAATTGCACTTCTTATTTTGGTCTACAGTAGTAATCACTCATCATCATCACTGATTAAAGTCTTAAACCTTTTTCCAGACGAACTTTAGCCATTTTGATAGCATTATTTGCTATACAAACCAATTTTTGTAGTCATGATTACTTGTAGACTAATCGGAAAATCCCTTTCAATTAAAGCACAAACTGTGTTGTCTTCTCTTCACAAGAGGTCAATTCTATCCTTGGCATGTTCCTCTGCAGTGAGGTTGGTAAGTGTGTCCAGTAATCGAAAAAAATGTCTTCCGTTGATCTAAGCCTAGAGCATCTCTCAGGCAATATTTGATAATGCCCTGTGTGGCCACCTTTAACAAAAATATATTGACATAAATGAAGAATTGCACTTTGTTTAGACTGTCTAGATCAAAATTTTAGTTATAAGGGGAAAGGTCTATTACTGCGAACCCACTATGCCGCATGCCACCATGTATGCCTTAAAACATGCACTCTATATCATTATTATTATCCACCCTAGTAAATTACTGTATATCAACATATAACTATATAGGTTTAGAGAGTGTACCTCCTTCCAATCATGTGTTTTCATTCCCAAGTAATTACTAAAAAATGTTGCTGGTCTCCAACCAAACCCAGATGGAACACAAATCTCTGAAGATCGCTGGTCAGCTTTCTTCAACTCATCTTTGGTCAAGTGGAATGGAGCATCTGGCAAATTCTTCTTAGCATTACTCATCTTGTTCTTTTTTCCAGTAACTGTAGAAGAACCACGCCCTAAAATATGCCAAATGACTTACTATAAATTGATAATTCTATTGAATATCACACAGCAGTTCAATATATAATTGTGGTGAGTTTGATACAATTCATCAAATTATATATTGTGCAAAATTCAATTGATTTTTTCTTGGAACATTACCATTTGCCCTATTTGTGTTTATATGTTTTGGTTTTATATTTTGTGAGTTATCCAAAACACACACACACACATACACACAAACATAACTTACTGTATGAGGTAAATATTTAATCATGGTCTGCTGTATATATCTACTATATGGCATGCGTGGTGCTAGTAACTTTACAAATTAAGTGACTTTGTTTAATAACACAGGCATATAATTGATTCAAACAATTAATACCTTGCACTGATGTTGTGGCAGCACCCTCTTTAATATAACATCCTGGAAACCTTTTCAGCTCTTCCTCAGTTCGTCTTACTTTGACTGTGTCTTCCCTTCCTGTTATCAAATCAATAAATGCAACAACAATATTCTTCATTGCATGCATCACATCAGGAAAAGCTTGCTTCATTCTGTCATGATCCTCCAATAGCATAAGACTGTAGCACGACTTACAACCTGAACCTTTGGATATGTTCTTGGCCTGGCTCGAGTTTGGTGCACTCTCACAAGCAACAGAATTGTACATGATATCGACAAAGTCTTTCCTGCAAGGAGGGGTCTTTTTTCTGCAAATTTATCTGGGAAGTGAATCTTGTCTAAATGCAAGTCTGAATCTTGTGGCAAATATCTGTGATTATCCAAATATACAGTCTTGTCCAAGGTTGAAATGTATTGACCTATATAATTTGAAATTATGTTGCATTTTACATGCACTAGGTAATTATTACCATACATAATTAGGTACATATCATTTAACCCATTAACTGGGTTAAATGTTTAGTATTCTGTCTAACGCCAGATGATCTTACTGATCAGTGGCATTGGTAGAGAACTGCTAGTAAATGGGTTACAGTGAAAATACAAAAAAGTGTCCTACTTCCGCTTCTGAGTTTGTTGTTATTTACTGTAATTTGTTCTGTTTTTCTCTAGCGATTAACAATCTATTGACAAATACTGTGATAAAATTTAAATTTTATACCTTTTATGCAATGAAACTAACGAAAAATGTATTAATTCTCTTTGCTACAAATTATCATTTTATAAATAGAGAAAACTAAGTTTTATCGCAGTATTAACAAAAAAATCGGTAATCGCTACAGAAAAACAGGACAAATTACAGCAAATCACAACAAACTACATTTGTATTTTCACTGTATGTAAACATAGAAAAACCTGAAATTATACACCACCAATTCAATTAGAACTCTAAATTTACCCCCTCCCATGCAGGAGCATATTAAAAGTGTAATGCATGCAGATGGTAACTGTAATAATTTAATTAATTATACATACTGTAGCATTACAATTGGCCATGTAAAGTCTGTAATAATGTAAACAAACGCTTTGTTTCCTTTTTGAGCACAGTGCTATATTTGTAAAATGATTACGATAGATACATAATACTGAATTCTTATAACTAGAGTTTCAATTCAAGAAAGTTCGAAAGGTGCAAAATATTATCAACATTCCAATGGTCAAGTCCTGACCATTGCAATGTAGGCTGACCTGCACACGATCGAACATATGCGCAGGTTGGACTTTACATGCAGTCACTTTAAGAATTGTATATTATCAAAAAATAATTACAGGTACTTTGAACATCACACCACAGACATCCCTTCAGAGCATTCGCTCCAGTAGCAGAGAAAAGCTTGTTCAGGCCAGAATAATCCAAAACATGATTTAGTATTCTAACCTTCAAGTCAAATTTCTTGCTTTGGTATCCATCATACATTGGTACACCAACTGAGAATTCCAAAAGCTCATCCACAAGGACTTCCACATATGAGTCAATCTTCAAAGCTGCATCACCATTCTGCCCTGGTATAATACCAACCAGTGTAATATTGGTAAACAAGATGTCTTACATGCTTGGGAAGGTTTAGCACTGTAAGTGTTATGAGCCACATAGAGCATGTTCCATGCTTGAATGGGTTCATTCCGTCTGTTGAAAACTGTACAGATAGCCCTCGAGGATCTCCATTGAAAAATTTACCAACTTTGTATGCTTCTTGAAATAGGGGAGAATCATGAACATCTTGCATGTTATCTTTCTCTGTGCACGTGGCTGGTGCCCCATGACTCTGCAGCATTTCTGAAATTCTTGAGTTTCCGTACATTCTTTTCCAATGAGGTTCCCACAGGATAGTAATGGAATCACTTCCGTGCATGGCCAGAATTCCCAATGTATCTTGGTGTTCCACAAACTGGGCATTTGGTTAGCTTTTGGAATTGTAATCTCAGTGAATTACGATATACAATGCAATTGTTTGGACAAACAGGGAGAAGAAATGGCTCAACAAACTTGAAGGCTTCGTCATATGACCAAGGTAGATTGTTATGGACTGGTAGGATGTACTAGTTTTGAATGCTCAGCAGGTCAGATAGAGATGTTTTACTTACACCAGGATGCTCTGTAAACCACTGGAAATACCTTGCAAGTGTTTCAAGGACAGTCACGCCACTTTCAGGATAAAGGGGCATTTTTGCATGGCAGCTATTGTACCGAACTTTTTCGTATGTCTCATCCTGTGCCCTGGTCCCGCCACGATCATGAGGAGATAGAAAAGGGGCTTTGTCGTCATTGTCAAATATTTGTTCTTCTTCATCTAGTTTGTTGTCTAATTCGTATACGTAGTAGCTGTTGGAAGCACAATCGAACGCTGAATGAGGTTCAAATTCTATATTACCATTTTCGTCATTGTTGTGCACGGGGCTATCATGCGTACTAGTGATAATATTGCTGCCACATCCAAGCTCATCCTCGTTGTCACTGCCACTATTTATAGGCGATGTCGAAGGAACAGTTTTGGCGATTCTTTCTCCAAATACTTCAAGTGCTTTGAAGCAACAAAATTAGTAACCTCCACCTGCTCACCTTTGCATAACGAACAATCACAAAGGACTTGTTCAAGTCTTTGTCGAGCTTTCCTATTTCTTTCATTCGCTTTGCTTGACAATTCTTCCATGAACAATTTAAAGTTAACAAACGTTAAATAAAATTGATTTTTGCCTGTGATTTTTATGTAATATTTCACAAGCAGCTAAAGCGAGATTTGGCACCAGCGCCAAAAAAATACGAAGTCAACCAAGGCTCAAGAGTGCAAGTTTTAATATTTTTCTGTGCCCTGTACACATACATATATACGTATGATACATGCATATATGCATGATGGAAGAAATACTCGAATTTATATAGAATCTCGCCCTCAAAAACAACCGAAACTTATCGGCGCTTCAAGCTATTAAAGGCTGTGTACCGACCAACTAGTAGGATATACGTACGCACTGAACCCAAAAATGGGTGCACTTTTTTAGTGTGTTCCAAAGTCATATATTCGATTGGCAGCGGCTTCAAGGGAAAAATATGGCGCCAAAAGTTAAAAAAACATTGCATGCAGCATTAATTGCTTGGATGCATGCATATATTGGTACAAAATATTATATGACTTTGATATATTTTTATACTTGATCAAGCTTATCATATTAAAACACTTCGAAATTAATATTCTATGTAATATATACACAGTACACTGTGAGAGAAGCAGCCAATCAAACGAAGTTGTGGAATGACGCACCTCGCCTAAAGGATATACCCTTTGCAACTGTTGGCGAGTTTATGAAAAAGGTATATATAACATTATGGTATATATATATATATATATATATATATATATATATATATATATATACAAAGTCCCAACCCTTTTGGTTGTTGATTAAAGCACTCAGCTGTTTTAGACAATGCACTGTCACCACGACACTGCCATGTTTCATATACATATGCATCCTTCTTCAAAATTTGTCACCTGATAATTCTTTTACAGATTGTCAAATTTTTATAAAAACTATATATCACAGTATAAAATGAGTGCAAACTTCCATCTGCAGGTTCTGGCTGTATTGCCTCAGCTGGATATGAGAATAGAATTAGGGAGAGACTCAGCCTAACCCTCATGAACAGGAGGAGCCAGTTAAAAAACGTTCTAAATTGGAAAAGAACTAAATCGGTTGAGTATTATAATATATCTTATATAACTACTTCTTGAGAAATTTGTGCACATGTCTCAGATTAATTTTTCTTGGCCATTTAGTGTATTGCCTATTGGTTCAGTAACATTCATGGAACTGTAGAGAGTTCTTTCCCATTTTTTATAGATGCCAAAATGGCAGGCTCAACTACAAATGCATAAGAAAAAGCTTAAAGATGATAAACTAGCTGATGCAATGTCACATACACCACCCCCAAAATATTTTAAACCTGTGGATGTGGTTAAACAGCGGATAACAATGCAGAAGATGCCAACAGCAATTTTTGAAGAGGATGCTAATGATAGATTGTTGACATCTTCAGAAGAAGATGATACAAATACAACATCTGAAGATACGTCGTCAGAAGAAGATGATTTTTTATTTAACCCAGGGTAATTATATTTTCATTTCTTAAAATTATACCATGCAGCAATTATAAATTAATGTAATTGATTGCTAGTGCATGGGGATATTATATGTATACCACGGCCATTATACGTACTATGTATATATTCTCTAGTCCCATAATCTAACTGCATGTGTCATTTGAATTGTTAGAAGCTTCAACTTCATGCACCATCTTACGTCTATACATTCGTGAATAGTGATTAAATTTTTTACACTTAAAGCAAACTTTACCTTTAGCTGGGCAAACTTGCTTACCCACATGTTTATGACCACAGCAGCTACACAATCTTCCAGATTCCCGTTCTTTCCGACTTCGCTGTCCTTGATCGTCTTGTACTTTGTCTTTATTTTATTTATGCCAACTTTTATTCATTGCGTGCACTGACTTGTCGCTTTCTTCAGAAAGGTCTTTCAATTGATGTGTAGATATTTCAATTCCCCTGGCAATGTTTATAGCCCTTGATAAGTCAAGCGTTTTGGCTTGCAAAAGTTTTTCTTTAATTTGTGGATTGTTTGTGCCGCAAACAATCCGATCTCGAATCATTTCTTCTAACAGTTCTCCGTAAGAACAGTCATTCACTAGCTGTCTTAGTTCCGTTACATATTGGTCTATATTCTTGTTGCTTCGTTGATCTCTCGTATTAAACTTGTAGCGTAGCACCGTGACATTCTGCTTAGGATTACAAAGGCTTCGAACCTATCAAATAATGCATCGATCTTGTCTATTTCAGCACTCTTCAACGCCCAAGTATTGTAGATATCTCTGCCTTTTTGACCAATGTAAAGCAGAAAATAACCACATTGCTGCTTTTCCTCTTTCTCGGCTAGTGGTCCTTGAAGCGTTAACTTCATTGTCTGCTTCCATTGTTTCCAACTTTCTGCTAAACTGCCATTCTCGAAGTCAAGTTCAGCAATTCCAATCGATTTTCTAGCCATTTTAGTTAACTAGCCACACCTGACACCATGTTATGTTTCTTTTTTAGCTCTCGTTATATTTATTATATGTGAATAACTATTGCACAATGTTGTGCCTTATATACCAAACTATTAACATAAATTACAATACAAAATATCTATGAATAATTACAGCGAGGTTTCTGTTGTAAAAACATGGCCAAAATATCCAGAATTTCCACGACCAATTATGGAACTCCAATAAACGTATCTCATCATATTGAATCCGCTGTCAGATGTGGTGTTAGTTCTGCGGTTAATTTCGTTAGTGTTAATTATTTGAGAGCTTGGAATGCACTATGCGATCCTTAATGTTATGGTTGTGTTTGTAGGAAACCAAAGGGGGTTTGGGCCATAAAAGCTTTAGTGATGGGTCTTGGTCAATAAGATGCCAGTATTTATGCAAGATAATCCTATATGAGTGGTATTAGTGTTATATGGTACTGAGAATGTTAGTATACCCATTATTACTATTAGGTTCATTAATTGGACACTGGTTAGTAGAATTATCATCAATCTGAACAGTTTTATTAATATTTTCCTGATTTTCGTCAATTAATAGATTGGACTGAGTGTATTGTATAGCTTTATTAAATGCATTATTAATTATTTTGTTAGTATAGCCCCTAGTAATTAAATTAACACGTAGGTATTGAAGGCATTAGCTTAATCTGTTGTTAATGTAAATATTAGTATCAAGAAAATGAACTCTTTCATAGGAGTACTCAATTTCGAATTTAATAGTGGGATGGAAGTTGTTAATATGGTGCAGGAAGTCCTTTAGTTTATCAATTCCATGTGTCCATATTGCAAAGATGTCATCGATGAAGCTTATCCACTCAAGTGGAATCAGTCCACCAGGGGCATCCCTTAGCATGTTGTGTTCTATTTGACCCATGAAAAGATTGGCATATGAGGGCGCCATTGGAGAACCCATAGCAGTACCTTGGGTCTAGAGATAATATTTATTATCGAATTCAAAATAATTGTTATGAAGTACAAGTGTTAGTATTTCCTGTAGAAAATCAGTGTTAGCTTCGCTATTAAATCTTTGAAGGTATTCAATTGATGCGGAGATACCTTCATCATGCAGGATGTTAGTGTACAGAGATCTAACATCTATTGTTAGAAGAATAATGTAATTGGGAAGATTATGGTTAAGTTTGAATATACGTCTAAGGAAGTCTGTTGAATCTTTAACAAATGAGGGGATATGGCTAACTAAGGGTTTGAGGAAGTGGTCCGCATATTTCGATAATCTGACAGTGGGGCCATCACGGTTCCCAAATATCTGCTCCAGGTGACATAAGTTGGGGGAAGAGGGACACTCACCCACATGCCTACAACACTCACAAAGTGTACAATGTAAAAAGGGACATTGCACTTCCCTACTGCTAAAATGTAACTAATCTTAACAACAATTACACACCAGCAAATCGTTCATTGATTGGTTCATTGGTATGAAATAGGTAATTGGACAAGTACTGGTGTAAGACATTGTGTAGCCTAAATAATGAGGACCAGTAGTTCAAATGGTTACCCTTTATTTATTTACTCAGACTCCTGTGATGGTGAACATGTACGCAAAAAACAAGGGAAACCACACTAAACTGTGTATTTAGGCTACACAAGTGTCCAATTACCTATTTCATACCAATGAATGAATATGAAATTTCATAACCTGGAACACGTATGACATTAACTAAATTACTAAATTGTTATATAATTAAAATTTAACTCCTAATCGAAAAATCATAATTCCTGAATAAATCAAATTATTTTAATTCTTGAATCTTGGTTATACAGTCAATACATAATAACTATTATTATTAGTATTACCTATGTTATTAAAATAACCACTTCTCAACTACAGTATTCCAAATGGAAACATGTACAAATGCATTGTTGCCCAAACTTGTTAAAACTTCTATCGTTATTTGCTGCTAACCTCTTCGCATTTGGCCGTCAATGTTATAAGCTTTGCATGAATAACATTTCGTATAGACCTTATTCATAAATCGTGATGAGGCCTCGTATCCTAGGAAACGGGGGAAAACGCGGGAAAATTGACAAAATGTTTTTTTGCTGTCGGCTATGGCAGCTTTTTTTCGTGAATATTACGGCTTTTATCGAAAAATATATTTATAAAACTGATCTTGAAAGTTGAAAAAATACTTCTGAAAAAATATAACATGATATTTAAAGCAAAAGATGCTGGAGTCAATCGAAAAAGGAAACCTTGACTTTGTATATATATTGCCATGTTTGTATGGGCAAAACAAACAACCAACAAGGCTACAAAACGTCTATACAACACCAAAATCGTAAGAAATATGAAACTATTGTTGACGAAACAGGATTACAACTCACTCAGGTAATGTAGCCTTCATTTTTTAAACTTGTAAGCTGCTTGCATAATGTTATCGAGCCACAGCCATAGTTCATATTTTTCCGTATGAATCAATAACATTTGACGTTCGCTGTGATTTTTGACCTGTTGTTTTCTTTCATATTACTGTCAAATTTGAAAAATTATACTTTCATTCCATAGTTGTCTTGATTTTTCACGGAATAACCTTTATATTGACGATAAAATCTCAGTAAAATACTGTTTTTCGCTTCTGGATAAACACCATCGCTACGTTGTCATTTTTTCCACACAAAAATGGGAGAAAAACCGGTCGCTTTTATAATATACTCGTTTACCGCTTTCGTTGTGGGCACAAAGTCTTAAAATACACACAAAAATCGTTATAAATCGCAAAAAGCAACAAGAAACAAGCCGTTAAAGTCGACACAATAGCATCTGAATTTGGCTTGTCAAGCAGTTTTCGCTTGTTTTCCTGCGTTTTGTTCCTGTATCCTAGGATATGAGGCCTCGTCACGATTTATGAATAAGGTCTATAGGATGTCCCATCTTGAAAAACTCTCTGAATTCCAGTAGGATATCCAGCGAAACCAAAACTTTGTCACTGATGTTGAACAAACCTATAATATAGAAAGAAGCACACACACATATTAGGAAATCAACAAGTTGACGTTAGTTCTATATGTAATATGATAAATCGCATGCTGCAAGTATCATGAATTTCTGAGTGATGGTCTTCTAACAAATTCATTCAATAATCATATATAATCATATATAATTAGAATATAATATAATCGTATAATAATCATAATCATATATAATCGTATTGCAAATTCTCATTCACGATTACCGAAATGCTCTAAAGGCCCACACAGCCAGACGCGATTCGGCAATGCGACGCAAATTTGCAATTTTCAATAACATTTAACTTTAACATTTTTCTATGTTTTTCAAATATTCGGAACCACTTGAGCAATTTTAGCTATTTGGTCTGCATATCTTGGAAAATTTTTATCTGTTGACGGTTTTATTTGGTTTTAAAAACTGAAAAAATTCGCGTTGCATTGTCGAATATATCATATATATATATATATATATATATATATATATATATATATATATATATATATATATATATATACAGCTAATTGCATTAAGGTTGTCCACTGACAATGCCAAAAGGTAAAAGCCAAGCGTGAAAGTGCAATGGGAGTGACTAGTTTGAATTAATTAACTGCGTTTAATAAATACCTATATTCCCTATAATTTAATTAACCAACATGACTAAAGTTTATGGAGTTTGCCAGTGATTGCACTTGAAGTAGACTTAATGTATGACCTCCAACTTTGTTAACAAATAACTTACAGATAGTTGTGAAATATAGGGCGCATGAAACAAAGTTGTCCCTTTCAAATTCAAATTACACATAACCATTTGTAGTAATTCTGACAGCTATAAATCACTTTGAATTACATAAAGGTCTTAATTATACGATTGCAAGTTATCCTAAATTCCCATGTGTAAACGACCTTGTGTTTTTACGCACCATTAATTTGTGGCAATGCGGTGTTTGCACAAACAAAAAGTCTTATGTGTTTTATCTCAATGCATGCAAAATGAAGAACTTAGTACATACCCTTCGACAGCTGCAATCAACACGTCGCCAGTTTTTAAGAGTAACACATTGATCAAAGTAAATAAAAAGTAAATAAAGGAAAGTGCCAATTTAGGGCAATTACTTTTATCGCATACCAATCACCTGACAATAGGCTTGGGCGGTTTACCGGTTTTTTTCGGTTTTATTTTCAAACCGGTTTTTTTCGGTTTAGCTTTTACAAAAACCGGAAAACCGTCATTACGTAATTGTTTACTGTCATCGCCTGAAACTCGATCTTAATTCTCAAAACATGACACCAATTAAACTCAATTACATGACACTAGATACAAATTCTATTCTTTTTCCATAAAGTCGGTAAGAACTGAAGAGGTATAAGTTTTCAAATGCGTTCTTGACCCTTTTATTTTAAAACTGAAGTCGTTTTAGGTTACCTTTGCACAATTTTGCGTTTTGTCATGTACTGTTTGTTTGCTTATGACAGAAAAATACCACAATTCCTCCTCATACAGTTGAAATACAAATTAAAGGGAAAAAACCGGTTTTTCGGTTTTACCGGTTAGAATCAGACGGTTTTTCGGTTTTGATTTTAAGCAAAACCGCCCAAGCCTACCTGACAATGCCACTAAAATCATATGGTACTGATTCACATTCAGAAATCGTGAACTAACATTATCTTTCCTCCTGTTACAATAATAGAAAGCGTATAAATTTTAGCCGTTTTGAGAAATGATCATCTCCTGTCATTATATCAGTTTATTGCTAAATAATTCAATTATAAAATATAGAACAGGCTTTATCCACGATCACGTCTAATTCTACACAGTATAAATGTTTTACACTTACTTTAGTTCCTGGCACAAACAGGTATTGGAACAATGCTCAAAAGCAAATAGAATGTTGGGTTTCATCAAAAGATCAACAAGCACAATCAAGAACTGTAAAGCCCGTCGGACGCTATATATAACACTTGTTCGATCACAAATGGGATATGCTACACAAGTTTGGTCTCCGCAAACCATTGACCTCATCGCTCGCTTAGAACACATACAAAGACGTGCTTCCAAATACATTTTAGATCTACCTTTCCTTTGTGAAAGCAGCTACACCCAAAGGCTTATTGACTTGGTCTTTCTACCTCTAAGTTATTGGCATGAATATCTAGACATGTTATTTTTCTACAAGGCAAATTGCGGTATCATGTGCCTCTCGGATGCAGTTGTTCCCAAACATAATGAAAACTCACGAATTACAAGATCAGTGGATCCGAATTCCATAAACTTCCAAGTTATGAAATGTAAAACCTCTACCTACCAACAGACTTATACGATAAGAACAACAAGAATATGGAACATATTACCAGGATCAATAACCGATAAATCTAACTCTCTAATAACCTTTAAAAATCTCTTAATTAAATATTACTATACCGCATTAGATACGAATTATAATGTGGATGATCCTTGGTCGTGGAAAGCAATTTGCCTGCAATGTAACCAGGCCCGGGACCTAACCAAACCTATTGCATGTTGTTTTTAAATTAGATATGTATCTATATATACATATATGTGTGTCTATGTGTGTGTGTGTATGTTTAACACTGTACTTGTACGTTTTGGGATCACAGTAATTGACCTGAAGCTGTTGTTATTTCCTGTCACATTTGTAATGTTATATGTAATGATTGTTATTTGTCATGATGTATTCTTGTAGTGACAAAGCTTGTAAAATTAAAAAAATTAAAAAACAAGTTTTGTAGTACAATAACATTTTTCCTTCAGTCAATTTTTCTGAAATTTTGTATTTTAAAAATAGTTGTATATACTCAAAACAGTTGTTTTCTATAAAACAGTTTTTGCAGAACAAATGAATTTATAACCCGCCCTATTTTTTTATATAATCTTCCACTAGACATTCCCTTTACACCTACAAAATTCCAGAAACTTTGACTGAAGGAAATTTTAATAAATTCAAATTTTATTTACCATAGCAAGACACCAATTTCCTTCTTTTGAACAATTAATATCAGGGGTGTATATTCTTCTATAATCCCCCCAGGGGGGGGGGGAGGAATGAAAGGGTCTTAGGGCCAGGGAAGAAATACAAAGAAGAGTGAAAAAGAAAGGAAAATAAGGGGGCAAAAGGAAAATAAGGGGGCAAGAGGAGAATGAGGGGGCAAAAGGAAAAGAAGAGAAAGGACAAGGGATGAGAATGCAAAAGAACTGAGAGAATTTGGGAATCAGTCTATTATGTCAGCAAGGAGGGGGAGGGGTATAGGTGAAGTATGAATTTTATGGCAAGAGGAAGGGAATTGGAACATAATGTCAATGTTTGAATAAAATTTTAAAAAAGTGAATATATATTGTTTGTGAAACTAACAATGTTTGTTCGAAGATGAAAGTAATTTAGAGAGAGAGTACTGCCGTGCTGTTTATCATTGAGATGCAGAAGTTCTAAATAAACTGAAAAATTTTTTTGTCAAAATCACCATTGTAACACCATTTTTCTACCTTGAACCAAATTTTTTTCAAAAATAATTCTTTATTAAATCAAACAAAAATGACTTGGATAGTAAAGGTAGAGCCCAGACTCTGCTGCTGTGCCCAAATTTCTTCAAGATACAGGAAAGATAATCAAAAACTTAAATTGAGGTTACATTGTGCCCTACTTTATTCTGTCTAATGCCAGATGATTTTACTCATCAGAGGGACAAGGGAGAGCTTGCTAACATATTTAACTCATTGAAGCTCAAGATTCATCCATTGATACGAAAAATCTCTTAGCATTGAAGTAAAATAACAAAGTATACCACACGTTTTGCCTTAACAGTTTACAAGAGTCATTGACAGATAAGTATATTCACCTTTGGTACACTAGTGTCACCACATGAAGACAATACATCAAGAAACTGATCGTTTGTAGCTATGTCTGCCATATCAGATTCACTGTTAGCATCTATTAGCTATAATTAAAATAACAGAACTTTACTCTTTGGTACATATTATTTCTGTCGTATGAGTATATATATATATATATATACTCCAGACAGCTTCATCAGTGTAAAAAGTTAAAAACACAAGGAAGTTAACTCATGCGATTTATAACCTAACCTATGAATAATTAAGAACTAATTAAGGACTAAATGAGAATACTCTAGGGATGTTAAAAATGTGGCCTATTATTGCAAAATATTTAAATTGTTTCTAATTACTATATATATATAAAAAATTGTTTCAGAACAGATTTTAACTCTATTTACGAAGTGCTTGTCAGTAAAGTGGGATTGTTGGCAGAAATCCATATTAAATATCAATTGTACTGATTATAACCATGTGACTATCATATGCATACACCATGTGCATAATGGAAAAGACAGGGAAATGACATTGTTTTAACTATTTTATTAACTCATAACATTATGCTATTAATGGATGGAATTAAGCTGTAAATGTTTTAATATAAGCTTCAGGCTTCAGCCTTATAACAATATAGAAAAGCATGATAGAAGCAGTTATGGCTAATGATGATAATTCATAAATCAAGTGTATATTTTCAAAATAATCCAAAATTGCCATCATTAACCATGATCTGTTCCTGAAGTCTTCTATATTTAGGATTACAATATAACAGTTCAGTTTAATACCCAAAGAATCCATTGTCTGGTTATTACATCTGGTATATCCCACGGATTGCAATAAGCCATCGCACCAATCATATCGCCAGTTGCCAGATAATAATAACATGAACCCTGAACCAAAGAGTGTGCAATGATTTTTCCAACAATTTCAATCATGCCTAAAAACACACCTTGTGGACTATGGGTAGGGCAATTCCGCCCACACTCTCCCAGAAACAATGACATAGGTTTACCTTCAATAATACATGAAAACAGATCAGTAAAGAACTGCCTAAGAAGACCACCTCCATCAATTGCTGGTTTATCAATGAAAGTAATGTGCAAAGGTGTTTCTGGATCAAAAGCCACATTCATAAAGCAACCGCATCATTGAAGAGGTCATCATGGTCGATCGTTAATTTTGCTGGGTCTGCTTTTCATCTTGTCTTTGAGTTTTTGCAGTACTTCAGACAGAGATTTCACCTCACACAAGTCCTCTTCTTGGCTACACTCTTCTTTGTTGAGCAAACTATCTAGACTAGAGTTTATGTCACCTCCACATCTGGAAAGGGTATCGGCAATTGTTTGTGCAGATGAAGTGGGAAACATTTCTTGCAATGACTCATTTGGATTTGGCAGTTCTCTACTTATTTCAATAACATCTTGTACTTCTGGGCTGTTTCTTTGAGAGAGAGAGGAGATACTAGCAAAAGATACTGAATTGCAGGAATTTTCTCTTGAAAGGTTGGGTTTGTGGCCACTGTACTAGATGATGAATGCTGATGTTCGTTCATCACTGGTCTCTCCACATTCTCATCTGGTATTGGATCAGTCATTTCCAGTGCTTCTCTGCTCACATTTAAGCAGACGTATAGGTTTCCCTGACCACACAACTCCTTCACTTGTTGAAAATCCCATTTATGGCTAAGTTTGATGACTGGTGTGATGATAGTATTTCTCTCTCTCTTTACAAAGTCAAAAAATAGGTACGCACTGCGTACATGTGGCTAGCCTTTCCTTTGGGAAAGAAAATTGGAATTCATATCACAACACAGCAGCCCAATGTCTGTATTGTGTTGAATTTTTAAAATTTGGCAGTATCTTAAACATAGGCGTACGGGAAAGAAAAATTCCTATTAGATAGCATATTTCCCACAAAATTGACACAATTTCCCACAAAATTGACACAATTTGTCCCATTTATTTTTATAATAAGCCAATATTGCCCGGCTTTGAAGCGAATATTACCTGACTGGCTTTGTTTGCCCAACAAACTGGGGGGCTGCCGGCCCATCCGCCCCCCGGTACGCCCATGATTGTGAATATATCTGCGTTGATATAGAGTTAAATAAAGACTATAATGAGACAGTTTTGTGGAAACACGCTGCCTGAAGGGCGAAGTGTTTTCACATAATTTCGAGTTTTCCCAACTTCGATGAGTGTTTATATATAACTCAATATCAGCACGGAAAGATGTTTTATATTTTTTTATAATACAGCACTAGGAAATAAGAAAGGAGAAAATAATTATTAAAATTGAATTCAAGAGTGGCAGGAACTTTCTGTGTTGACATTGAGTTATAGCAACACTGCTCTTAGCCAATCAGCATTCAGAATTTGCACATGTTACATAATAATTAAATATGATATATATCAATGAAAGGTCAACAAGTAGGCAAAAATAGGGCATAAAAGTCGGCAAAGTTGGGCATAAATTGAATTTAAAAAGAGCAAATTACTTATATAGTGCTACAGCCGACAGGTCTAACAAAACAGGTAGAGAAAACTCTGAATATGTCATTTCTGACAATCTAGAATTCCAAACTTTTCCGCTTATAGTGCCTACCAAGTTGGCGCCTCATGCAAGTCGCCCCACCCCCAAGTTACAAAACATTGAAAAACTAGTATCAGTTATTAGTAAATAGAGCATTTGCACTCATTCCCCAAGGATCAACTCAACAAAAGCCATGGCGACCATGTTGGTGTTCCAGACAAAAGAGTCTAATTAAAATTCTTTTAAACTGGAACACCAACATGGCGGCTGTGACATCATGTGCAAACGCTCTATAATGCTGCGATTACACAGTTAATCAGAATTACATTAATTCGAAGACTTAAACACGTATGTGTTTTACCTCTGTGTGTGCATGTGCTGGGACAGGGAGGAATGAAAGGTCAGGCACACCCATGTTCAAATCGAATGGAGAGTTAGCGAGTAGTAAGCTTTCCTTACTCTCAAAGATAAACGGCGTACTTATCGTTATCATATAAAATAACATTGCAACATTCTGCTTTAATTTTCTTTAATATATAGCTAACATGCATGAAAAGAATGTACATGATACAAGTCTGCTACTGCAATTACTTGCAATGATAATACCCCTTATACTCATATTACTGTAATTGTATATACTTCGAAGTTCGAAATAATCATGATTTAATTAATGTTCTGTCAACTTTCCAATTAATTTAAAACAACCTTCCAATTAATATAAAAATCTTACTATAAAGTACAAATAAATGGAATGTCACTTATAAGTGAAACAAACATATGGTTTGTTAAAAACCAACTTGAAATATGCCGAGAATATTCTAAAGAAAGATCAGTAACTACTTTGTTTGATTGTTTCTACTTTCAATGCTACACTTCAGTAATATTGTTTATTAAATATTGTTGTTAACCTTAATTGAATGACAATCAATTCAGTATTAGGCTTAGTGGTGAATTCCATATCAAAGCTTGATAATATTGCTGTTTAGTAACACTACCTAGATGTGAATATGTCAACTAAAATAGTGAAGTTTTCACCTTCATCTTTGATGTTTTGTCGACAATTGGTTTATCTTTATCTCTGTTGCTTTGTTGTGATGAAATATTGAACATATAATACCAAATTTCCAAAGCACAATGAAATATAAATGAATCCGGAAATGATCGATGTTTATTTATTTATAGGCCTGATCGCAGGTTACCTCATGTCATGAACAACAGTTTCCGAAGTTGACGGCAATTTCCGTCACATCTTGTTTCAGAAATTTCCCTCTGTATCTCAGCCTCGGTGTAGGTTGTGGAAAGATCACAATAGCCTTTAACTAAAATATATCACATTCCAATGTATAGTCAGGTACGCACTGGTTTATATTATCATGATCGTGCTCAGGGGGCTCGTCAATCAAACAAATGGATTTTGTCATGACCCTCCCTTGTACTGTTTTTTTAGACTCCTTTTTTTTTGAAACGCTACAGGTGAAACGAATTCCCACTCGTTGAAGCTCTCTTTGGCATGGGTGGATTGTTGGTAACTGGAGACCGGTCAGGTGTCGAACTACTTGAAGTTAAAAGCAGATGACGATAGCAAAGAACTACGTCTGCTTTCGAACTCACAAGATACAGATGTTGTGGCATTTGCAATGAGATCTCTCGTTCGATGCAGGATGTTGGAAGTTCCTTGTCTTCCACACCGTTGGAAGTCAATCTCTTCTCGTACACATTGATGAATAATACCGGTGGTTATTTCATTGCGATCCGAGTCAGTTGTTTCCCACTCACCTGGCAAAGACGCCATATTTAAATTTCTCTAACCATGTGTCCACGCACACGCACGGCTTCTTGTGTGATCCTCACGTCAACGTGCCCACGAGCAGGCCCTCTAAGCAGGCCGAACCTTGAATATATATTTTTTGAGCTTGAATACAAAATAATATTTCTGTTGAATGAATATTTCTGTTGAAATGAATGAATATTTTTGTTGAAGTTGAATGAATATTTTTCTTGAATATGAATATTTATGTTGAAGTTGAGTGAATATTTCTGTTGAATATGAATGAATATTTTTGTTGAAGTTGAATGAATATTTTTCTTGAATATGAATATTTATGTTGAAGTTGAATGAATATTTATGTTCAATATGAATGAATATTTTTGTTGAAGTTGAATGAATATTTTTCTTGAATATGAATATTTTTGTTGAAGTTGAATGAATATTTATGTTGAATATGAATATTTTTCTTGAATATGAATAAATTTGTTGAAGTTGAATGAATATTTTTCTTGAATATGAATGCAAACTCTTGAAGTTGAACAAATATTTTCTGTTGAATTTTGAAACAAATCACCAACCATACAAAACATGGAAATTCAGACACATCCACAACTGTGAAAATGTGCCATGATGTGTTCAATTATATGTTTAAAAACAAAGGGAGACAAAGTCAACGCAGAGGTTGGTTTGAGTATGATCGGGAGGATTTCGTTCCATGTAACCTTCCAGCATCATGGGATGCTTACATTGACCGCCTTGGAGATGGTAAAAAATAACTTTCCCTGTGTTGGCCAAACCAGTTCTCCAATGGGGGGCCCAAAACCTATGAAGAGTGGGGATTTTAGTATGTTGCCAAGATACTATCGTGAAACTGTCCGGTTGTGTTTTAGCACAAGTGCTTATACTGTTAATGTATAATACCTTGTGGGTAAACAATGTTGACATAATTTGATACAATTTTCCTGCCAGGAATGCATGCAGACACTTTTTTGAAAGGTTTAGCACTTTACAAAACCTTAGGTAATAAGACTTTACAAACATTTATTGCAAATTGTTGGAAGGCAAATACATCAATTATATCAACAAGGTTTACCCATCTTTATCTTTGTAAGTAGGCCTTTGGTAATAATAGGTAATGATTGCAATCATTAGTTTGTTGTTTTGATTCAATTTGTGAAATAAAACTTGTAATATCTATGAAAACTTAATACATATTTCACACGGACTACCTAAAAGTTTCAAAAAGGTTGCAGGAGAACATTTATAAGATTTTTATACATATTTACAATATATTTACATTGTTGTACCTTCTTAAGAGATCTTTTAGGATTTTTTAAAACTTTATCACTATAACATTAATCCATTGAGTGGCAGCACTCTACCCCTGACAAGTAAAATCATCTGGTGTTAGAGAGAGTAAAAGAATCTGGCGCTAGACAGAGTAAAAGAATAAAGTAGGGCGCATTTGGGTGCATTGCCACTTAAAGAGTTAAACTATCTGTACTCCGTATTTACACACTTTTATTCCTTTTTTGCTGCCTTTTTTCCAAAATTCCTTTTTGCCAATAATCTTCATCCTCTTTTTCATACGCTTTCTTTTGACACTCATGCTGACTGGACTCTAACGTTAAAGCATCAGACGTACAATCCCACTTATTTGATTTCCTGAGAACAACATCATTGTTCTTTTCTACGCCCTGACCTGAAAACAGTGTAACTGTTTTGTACAAACTGATGAACTGTGGTAAGTAAGGCATGTAAGGTGTAACCCTTGCTCTGGTATATCCTTTTTGCTTTGCACTTAATGAGACAAATTGTTCCACCCATGCCTTGGAATTTTCAAAATATCTAGCCACATCTTCTGAAGTGGGATTTGCTTTACTAATTGTTTTGTAAAGATTATGAAAATCTTCCCAAATTTTAATTACCTCATTGCATGATTCTTCTTGGATTACTGTTCGTAGCTTAGCTGGTAATGTGTGAAGCAAAATCTTCTTATCATTGCCGAGCAAGCTCATGCATTCATACTTCCCAGACATTTTACAATCAGCATTTGTTTTCTGCCAAATGTTAAAGCTAACTCCACATGATCTTACTGTGCTTATTAGTTTGTTCAAATGAATTCCTCTTTCTTCATTTCTTTCTCAAATCCTCCATTTTATCCCATTGTAGTACTTCCTCAATTAAGTTATCAATTAAGACATCTACAATCCTCAACATCAAATACAGTTCGTCGACAACAACATGATCAAGGTCGATGTGTAACAATGGCTGTCTAGAACAACAATAGTTTTTGTTAGCTTTACCAGCCATGGCAATGATTTCTTTGATTGTGCGCTTCAATGGTGCTGAGTTGTAATAACTGAGATCATAAGTATCCCATCTGTTATCGTTATGGATTTTGCACCATATGCATGAATGATTAGAAGTAGCATTTAGCAAACCAAGGACCATTAGGAGAAATTTGTAGTCTCCACCCAAAAAACCTCCAAGTTGATATTCCTATCACCCACTCTGATCTGTTTAGCTTGGTTCAAGTTATTGATGTGATCAAATACATCATGAAAAGCCTGCTGTAAAACCTCGTACTTTTCTTCTCTTTTTACAACAGCCAAACTGTTGTTGCCCTTTGCTGACAAAGCATTGGCATTTTTGTCATCCAGTACTGCAAGGGTCAAGATTATAAAATTTGTGCTCCTAGTCAGCAGAAAATTTAATCTTCACTGGATTTTCATCAAAGTTAAAGTCTGGGTTCTCAGCAATAAATTTCTCTAGGCATTCTGTAAGAGTATGATGAAAATCAACCTGGCATCCTTCAAACTTGCCAGGTGTTTTTGAAATTGACAACAGTTTATTTAGTTCATCACGTCTTTGTTTAACAAGGTATGACCGTGGTAATGAATCATGCAGCATTATTTCATGATAAAGTTCATCGCTCACATGGAATTTGTTGAGCAGAAACAAAACTTCTACCTTTTCCTTTTCAGTGTCCGACACAGCATTAAAACCATGGCACTTATCACTTTGTCCATTGTCACTACTTACTTATTGGCATAGTTTTAGTGTCAGCAAGCGAAACGGTGTGGACTGTTCCAGTGCACTTCTCAACAACATTCATGCTGCATATATCTAACCCAAAGGACTCAGCAAACCAAAGGGCTATCCTTGCCTGAGAAATAAAACATTTTAATGTTGTTCTCTTTTTCTTCACTTCTGAAACCTTCTTGCCTTGATATGCTATTCCCTCGGACTTAGATAAGCAGTTAATGTATGATTTAAGTTCCTCATTTGCACAACTTAGTTCTTCAACCACTTCGTCTTTTTTTTCTACCTCTTTTCTCATTTCCTCAAATAACTTTCTTGATTCTGCTTCAATGTTTCTGTTCTTTTTTTCTTCCACTGTGCCATAACTTCTTTGTTTTCTTTAAATTTTTCAGTTTCTTCCTTTAATTCTTTGCACGAAGTCACATATTGTTAAAAACATGAAACCGTCTCATCTTTGAGTCCAGCTCTTGTCGCTTTCTACCATTTAACTATATTAACCAAAAATAAACATTATTACAATAGTTTAAAACTTATCTGAAGACCATGTTTTTGCTTGCTACTCTGGTTTATATAAATGAATACAAAGCCCAGTCGAATTGTATTCACTTTGTATTCATTTATATAAACCAGAGTAGCGAGCGAAAACACGATTTTTTACACCTGGTTGCCGTGAATGAACAAACTTTCTCTGAAGATTTGTGGTCTACAGAGGTACCACATAACAAATAAATTTATAGATTGCCAGAAAGTGTAAATAAATAAATAAATGCATATTGTTTAAATGTTGTTTTACCTTTCTATATAATGCCTTTACCAAACCACATATTTTACCAAGAGTTTTGTCAATTTCCTTTCTAACTTGAGGACTATCACGAAATGCGAATACACCAGCAGGAATAGAGCTTTCAAGAAGATCACAATAACTTTTTATTTGCCCTGACACAGACAACATATTCTCTTGTTTTCCATTTGTATTTCCCCCAAAATCATGCCATATTTTTAAAACTGGGTATGGAATAGGTATCACTTCACAAAAATATCGACATTAGTATACCCAAATTTTGCCTGAAAATTACAACATTTACCTGATTTTAACTTCAAACGTCTCGGATTTTACATCTTGAGCTTTTCAACCTCCAGTAAAAACCAACAATTGGTTCGTAGTTTACCTGATTTTCAAGTTTACCTGATTTTTGACAATAAAGCAACCTAAAATCAGTGGCGCCATGGCAGGCCCCCCCCCCCCCATTGTTGAGACCCGTCGGAAAATTGTCAATGTTGCCGGAAATTGTCAAAATTGACGACGGGGGGGGGGGGTTAAAGATTTAAAATGTTGTCTTCCGGAAAAATTTTTGGTTTGTCAGAAAAATGTTTCGGTTTGTCGGAAAAGTACTTTTTCCTGAAATTCAACAACCCTCCCCCCACACACCCTGATAGCGACGGCCCTGCTATAAAGGTTAATATTTTACCATTAAGTTACAATGCTCTACACTTGGTGGGGGATTGCTCATATTTAATAGCCTCATCAATTACAAATGCTTGCCTGCATGTATCTATAGGGGTAAGTGGATCACAGGAAAAGTGGGTAGATTCCTTGAAGCGTGTAGCTCGATTTGTGAAAGTGGAAAGTGGGCATCTTACAGTCAAATTTGACAAGATTGGTGTACTTTCATTTGGTTCCAAAATACCTAGTGTTTTAGCTACAGCTGGTTTTCAGAGTTTCAGCCTTGACGTCCTTATGACATTTTGTTCCGGCTTAACAAATATGTTCCAAAACCTATTGCGGCCACAACCAACTTTAACTGGGAAAGAATATGAAATTTTGGCTAGAATTCTCCTTGGCTTCCAAGTGGTGGTTATCTTTGGTGTTAAAGCCATTACCTACCCCCTCAATTAAACAAGCTGTTGTATACACACCTTATTATGTTGATAAAGCTTTGGCAGATGGTAGAGAAATTGGACTTCCAATCACCTTGGAACATTTTTCCGATGCAACCATGGAGACAGCGCACAAGCGACCCAAAAAAGGAAATTTCCTTTTTAGCGGTGGAAGGGATGGCCCCACAGATGTTGTTGAATACCAAACATGTGTCTTAACTCAGGTTTTTCAAAATGAAATTTACCACATTTGGGATAAAGGCAATCAATTGAAGTCAAAGCGACATAAACCAACCGAATCAGATGAATCAGAGACACAAGATGTTAAAAGAAGAAAAGTTCAGGTAAAGTAATTAGTAATGTAATTTGGGGTGAGGAAGAATTTACTAATCATAGTAAACTTACTAATAGCCTAGCAATGCATCACTCAATTCCACCTGACAGAACTAGACATTTATTGTTTTTATGATACTGGTCTAAATATGTCTGGACTGATAACTTTTGACTGCCATGTAATCAATATCAGGATAGAAATTACAAAATTGACTGATGCATAGCAGACAAGGGCAAAATCTTGCACCAGATCTTTCTGCTGCAAACATTTTCTCTTCTTTATAAAATACTTAGTCACCCCACCCAATGCCTGCCTCCACTGGGAGTCTCCCTCACAGCCACTGTTTGTGTCGTCACTTTATTCCTCCTCACAAGTGGCTGCTCACAATTAGCTAATCCCAGCTTGGTTATCAAAACCCCAGAACAAGTTGCCCCAATTTAAAAAGCTTCCCACATAATTTTACATGCAATGCTGCGATTGGTTTAGCAGGAAAGGAATGTTGTGGGGAGGAATATAATGATGGAATACATTATTCACCAGTAAGCTGGTCTCCCTTGCAGCCACTCATAGTGCAAAATATAGTGACAACACAAACAGCGGCTGCAAGAGAGTAGGTTACCTACTGGTAAACAATAACATAAATCAACTATCCTTAACAGTCAATGTTTTTTCCACAACAGTTGCAGTATGACCAGATGTATTGCAAAAATACTGTCCTTTTGCTTCAATGTAATTATCTGTGTACCCAGTTGAATCTAGAAAAAGAAACCAAAACTATAGCACTTTTTAAACTTTTGATTAACAGAAGGCTTAGAAGCACATTCGTTTGCAACTTTTCTTACTCGCTAAGTCGGTAAGCCTATCTCTCTATAATCAGGTGATATATTTTCCAACAGCACTCGCAAATGTGCCTGCCTTAATTTAAATAGCTCCCAAGGGAACTTCATAGAAGATTGAGATTTTAAGGTACCTGTAGTTGTCAATTATTAAAATTTGTCATAGTTACCTTTTGATAATGAGTTTGATGATGATAGCTGTGATTTGGTTAACTTTGATCAAAACAATGCTGGACCATCAGAGCTAGATGACCAATTGGTAATATTCATTTTTTTATTGATTCTGGATAATTCATAAATACGACAATAGGTTAATTACCCACTACATAAATTATTTTTCTACAGCTTTCCAACCCAATGAATGAAGCCGATGAAGATGATGTTGTAGCACTACCCATTGGACCAGATGAAATGGCATGCCTTGCAAATACTGTTGGTTTCGAAACGGAAGGTCAAATTAATGTTTTCGAAAAGGTTCGATGTGAAACAAACAAGTTGTTATTTTCCGCAATAAGCAAAAGTTCCCATCAAAATGCGTAAGTATGGTCAGCAAATGCGTAATGTGGTTGCCTAGCCACGCTATGTCCATTGCGAAAAACATAGGTTTGTAGATTATGCAGTAAATTCCGGTTTGTTTTTGTGCAAAAACAGTCTACCCAACTTGTAAACTTCATTCTGCAATAAGTCTTTAACGCGGACGCTTGTGAGTAAGCAATAGTTGTTTTGGGCCCTGTATTGGCCAAGTTCTATCCACGTTAGGAAGACCGTCTACCTTTACTATATCTTGGCTTGAAAGAAGAAGCTACACATATATCTACACTATTAAAAGTTAAAGTTTGGTGCATTAGCAAACCAAAGTAAGTACATAGATAATAAGTTGTTTTTTGCGATATTAATAGTTGCGCGAAATGTTTCACACAAAAGTGACTTTAGAATAATTTGCGCCATGTCATGCATGATTCAGTTTGTTTGTTTTGTATTTGTTCATTTGCATGCGCATGTATTCTTGTAGGCTTAAGATCCGCGCTAAGTCAAGGCAGCATTTCCATTTCCAGCGCTGCTAAATTCGGGTATAGTGCATGCTAATCGTATAAGTAAATATTTGCATGTATATTATTTAGTATATTAATTAGTATTAGTTTCTTGTTATATTTATCCTAGTTTCTATACGGTTTATTATAGTTAGTTTGTTTCACTCATTGTATTCTAGTTCGAACCGATTCTATCCGCGACCGATTCTATCCGATCGATTCAACACGTTACGATTCTACTCGATCGATTCTACTCGATTCTATGTGATTCTGTATCAGCCATACTATATCTATCGATAGTATATCATCTACAAGGACAATATACCACGATAAACGACAATCTAAATGATCTAAAACTGCGATTTATCAACATTCAAGTGATTCAACATCTTGATATTGAATTTTGATCCTACCAACTAAAACCTACAACATCGATTTCACATTTCGACACCTCATTCCCAACAAGTTGTCGTATCGTGATATCATTGTATTGTACATATTTCACACCTGTATATATCCTGTTATCTGTTTATTAAATTGTTATAACATTTTTGTCAAAATTCTAACGTCGAGTTCGATTTATTCAACGCACCGCGTCTACCCCCAGTAGATTCATTTGGATTTTGTTCAAACATTCATTTCTATCCGGATGAAGCTACAAATACCAAAGTTCCGGATGGTTCATATAACGAATGTACAGCACTGAGAGATGACCTATGGGAATATGGCCAGAATAATCCCTCTGGGTTGGGGAGTGGGGTTCTGGTGACTCATCAGAACCAGTCAGAACTGCTACTTCCCTGAGGCTATGAAACAGGAACAGCAGATGGGAACAGGATCAATATATTCGTCAGTGCAAATAAAAACGTTTTTATAGACATAATTTACATGGTGCCACTTAAAATTATAATAAGAGCCAAACTAGTAAGATATAAGTATGAATACTTGGCTATTATGTATGTAACAAACAACCAAACATGTGCTCAAGGCTCATTTTACTTCGCCTAAGAATCAGAGATTTTTATGCCTTTCAGTATGAAAGGATTATTTCAACACAAAAAAGCGATGAGGACATACTTGGTCGTACTAGTGAAGCTATACTAAATACAAATAAATTCACAATGCCATGGCAACGGCAAAACATTGAAATAGAAATTGTCTAAAAATGATAAAAATACTTGCCTTGAAACTCCAGACACGACTCCCAATGCCAGGTTGAGATACTTGTCTTCATACGAAGACATTCCATCATTACTAGCACTATCAGTTTGCAAAATAAAGCCAAGAACGTCTTCAGCATGCAATTCAAACAATACAACTACAACACAATACATTACAACGCTTGTGCATTCTCATGCGCGATAATCAGGAAAATTGCTCTAAAAGGTTTGTTTTTCTGCCTAAGCCAATCAAAATCCGTATCCGGGGTAAACAAACACTCCGGAAGTGATTCCTGCAGTCTTTTACCAGGAAACTGTAATGCTTTACCAATAATTTGGCGTCCGAAGTTGGCCGAACACTTTCTGACCATGGCATAATAAGCTTAGATTATTTTGCAATTTCCTGAGACTGCTCCGAGCTATAGAATGCAAGATGTTGATTCTTTTGGTATATTTTTCTTTATTATACGTTGAAAAGAAGCAAAGATACAAGCATTTGAATCAGGCGAAACATTCAAAATGCAACAGCAAAATTGATAATGCGTCATTTGCATAAATTTCACCGCATTGATCATTTCAAGGTAAGAAATTCGCTTGAAATTGAGCAAGAAACAATAAAATTATATGAATATTTCGGAATATATTGTATCGATCAAGTGGAATTTTTTGGTGGTATTTTCGTATTTCTACTGCAAATACTCGCGGAGTTCTTTAATATTTAATCTTCCCGTCATATACGTCGGAAATTAATATTGGCGGATTGAATTGAGTTAATTTTGTCATTAGGTGTTAGTTCGAATAGGTTTATTATAAAGTTGAATTCATTACAGCTAATTGCTGTCGAGCATTAGCTCGGCAGCACACTATTCTTGACATTGACTTGTGCGCAGTCTCTTTGGCCAAGTTATGTATTGTCGACGTGAATCGAAATTTGTTCAAAATTTGGATGTCCGTCGGCAAACCCGGGGGCCACGGGGGGTGACACATCAGGGAAACGCAAATGCTAATGAACATGTCTTCAGACTCTTCACCGTCTTGAAAGATATATTCGATGTGTCGGGAAGTGATCAAATTTTAAAGGTATTTAGGTATTACAAGTGCAGTTTATATGTTATGCCACAACTTTACTGGTAATATTCGTGGAAGTATTCATCAACGTACGGACTTTTGTTCCTATTAAATATTAAATCACATTTTATATGGCTGCTGAGTCAAACAACCTGCCCAGTTTGCCTTTGACTGTGTCAGTCAGTGTTCGAACAAATGCATTAAAAGTGATTATATCTGCAAGTTTAGTGGTCAAAGGATTTAGTAAGTTAAAATTAGTGATAAATTGGTGGTTGGTAAGCAGTAGCTGTTGTGTTACTGATAGGTCGTAAAGGAGGAACACTGTCAAACGTTTTATGGATTTTAGGAAGGCCTTGTACTCTAGCTGGCTGAGTAGAGATAGGTTGCATGTTATCGTACTCTGAGTTAGATATCTCATCACAGTTAAGAATTCTGCGCAAGTAGTTTTGTGGAGTATTAAGTTGAGTTAAAGTAGAATCTACTTTAACCTTTGAGAGTTTAGTTTTGTCAGAGAATAGAATTAATACCACACAGTTGCCTTTATCAGGTTTCAAAATAGCATATTTTTGTCATAATTCCTCGAGTATTTTGATATGCTTGGTGTCAGTCTTAAGTTGTTTGTCATTGAAGTCAAGGAAATTGGAAACAAGAGCCCTAATAGAATTTTTGACTTACTGTTGTTTGATGAAGTTCCTAGGAAGAAAATTGTGTCGATTAAGCTGTTCCTAGATAGATTCAACGGTAGCAATTATCACAGTTTTTTCAGTCTTGTAGCTACAATCTTGGCCATAAACCGTAGGACGACGATAATTTTTATGCATTTTTAAGGCCTCCCCCCTTCCCCCCATTCAATGTTGCCGTTTCGTGTATATTTATGATCTGACCTACTCTACAACAAAATTGTATATGTACTAGAAATGTGGGAGAGCAACATTGAATGGGGGAGCGGGGGGAGGTGCAAAATGATTTTAAAACCCAAGTATATTAAAAAGTTGCGAATTTGTTTTGTCGTTCTACGAACTTTTGGCCAAGATTGTTCAAAAATTATGTATTTAATCCTTTACATATATATGTATTAAATTTAGAACACCAGTTGTAGAAATATTCAAAAATGTACTTGTGTTCTTGTACTGCTGGATAACACTTCAAAAGTCATTCTGGTATTCCTAAATATTGAATGATTGGTAGATATTAATAAATATTGTATACTGTAATTTGAGACCGGATTTCTGGGTAGGGCCTTAATCTTCTCTTCAAATAGCATATATGTCTATTTTGAACCGGACAGTAATGGTTATAAAGGCAGACTGATACAACGTATATTTAGTATACATATTTTCAGTTAAAGCTACACACGCCAATTGACAAATAGAATTTTTAATTAATCTTGCTGTGTAAGATCCAACATATCATAATTATAGATATGAGGAATATATCGTGTGCGCAACAACGAATCGTGTTTATAGTCACGTACAGCAGAGCGGACACACAGAAATTTCATACAAAAAAGAGCTTTGCTGATGCCATTGTAGAAGCATGCATGCATAGACGGTGTCAGGCTTTACAATTGAACATTGGGTCGTCCTTATGATGTGATGTTGACCAAATAATTAAATCTGGTGCCGTATCGGACAAAATATTAATCTATATATACATATAAATGAACTCTAGTAGTTTAATAACTAACTGACAGTACTCATGAAGAGTACTCACTGTAATTGCTTAATTTTTCGTCGGATTGTAAATAAATACATAAAATATGCACAACATTTTGTTCATTGTTACTGTCCTTACAATCTCATGGTAAATAGGTAAAACAAATTGTAGATTTGAAGCAATAATTGACATTACTCATTAAAACCTCCAAACTTAATATGAGATATAGACATTGTCTTAACTCATGTTATGGCAAGTACTGTGATTGTCCTTTCCAAAGGCCCAATTTTCCTACAAAATACCAACAAACAGAATTGCGACACTTATGCCAACATTTAAAAACATTTTATTTCAGACAGTGAAATCATATATGTTCGCTTAGCTCTTGTTTTTTTGAGTACTGTCACTGAGTACTGAGTGTCACGATACAGAAAGCCTGGCGGCCCGCGCATCTAACAATTACATATTGATTTGCAGCGTATTATTATATCGCAATAAGCTCTTGCAATTACCCTTTCTGATGTAAAATGAAGGAGAAAATTTCCCTTGTTTACATTACTTGCGCAAATTCATATATGTTCGCTTAGCTCTTGTTTCATTGAGTATATACTGTCATTGAGTACGG